TTATTTATTCCTTTCTTTTGCTTGCATGCAGCTCGTTGCTGGAGTTAATGACGACAAACAAACTAACTTCTCGTTTGCTGCAGCAGATATTGAATCCTTCTACGTCTTCTATACACCCCAATGGTGTAAATTATTTAATAAGAAATTTAATTACTTTCATTTCTTCTTTTGCTCTTGATCCCGTCGGGGGCTTTGTTCTCACTGCGATGTACACAGCGGCCACTGTACGTTGCAGACAAAACATTAAAACATTATTAGTGCTGATGAACCAATTAATGCTGTTCTTATTTATGCTGTTGTTGCTGCTGCTGCTGCTGCTGTTCTTCTTGATGCCGTTGCTGCTACTGCTGCTGCTACTGCTGCTGTTCTTACTGCTCTTTTTTCTACTGTTGCTGTTCTTTGCGGTTCTCCTCTTGTTGCTGCTGCTGTTGCTGCTGTTGCTGCTGTTGCTGTTGCTGCTATTGATGCTGCTGCTGTTGTTGCTGCTGCTATTACTGTTTCTGCTGTTGCTGCTGTTTCTGCTGCTACTGTTGCTGTTGCTGCTTTTATGCTAGGGGTTTCTTATGTTGTTTCTTATATAGCTTTGTTTGTTTTGTTTGTTGCTTTGCAGCCTGAGAACAAGCGCCAAATAGTAGAGGCGTTGGTGCCGCTAGAAAGCGATTTAAAAGAAAAGAATTATACAGCCTATATGAAGTGCGAAGTCTACAGATTCACAAAAAACGAAGAAGAATGGAAGGAGAGACAAAATAAAAGACATAAAACCCGAGTACGCACTGCTGGACAACTTACTTATCACCACCTCTTCTTTATATATAATATATATATATATAATATATATAATACTATATATATTATATGTTTATTTAGATGTATGTGCATATATGTGTATATATGTATATACATATATATTATATGTATACATATATATATGATATATATGTATTATATATTTATGTAGATGTACTTGGATTATATGTGTATATATGTATATATGTATATATCTTTATGTATACACACATGGATTATTTCCGTTTGTTTGCTTATTTATTTGTTTATTTGTTTGTTTGTCTGTTTGTTGTTTAGGATTTGTTTAAAGATATTCTTTCTTCTGCTGCAATTGAAGAGGAAGAAGAAGAAACAAAAACAAAAACAAAAACAGACGACAGCCTCTGGGTAATTTTCACTTCTTCCATCGAATAAAGACAGACTGCATATATATGTATATACATATATATATTACAATATTTTAGTATATTTATTTATTTATTTATTCTGAATAGATGTATCTTGCAGAGTTGAATAATGCGGCATACATTTAGAACCGTATATTACTTACTACGTAAAAGCACTTTATATATATATGCACATAAGCATAATTATAATGTATATATGTATATCTCGTCTATGAAGGTCTATTATATAGTGTGCTATATATTTAAATACTATATATTATAGAATGATGCAGGTGATGTACAAAGCAAAAAAAGAAAGAAAAGAGGAAGTCAGCTGCAGCTGCCTTGGAACCAATCTGTTAACCTGAATTTGTTTATTTGTTTGTCTTTAATAATAATAATAATAATAGCAATTAAATATGTTCTTTTTTCGTTTTTCTCCTTTTGTAGTTATATTAATTGCGTTGGTGTCTGTCCTTGCGATTTCCTGATTGTTGAAACAATTAATTCAGCAGATTAATTAAATTAATTAATATTCATTCATTAATTAACCAATTATTTAATTATTTAAATTCAATTTAAACAGTTAATTATACCAATTAAAACAAAATAATCTCTCCTTCGCCTTCTCCTTGCAGGCAGCCGACCCTATAGCGCAGCAGCTGATGGCGTCTGAAGGAATGAACGAAGAAAAATTAAAGGATAAAAATAATAAAAATAAAGAAAAGAAAAAAAGAAAAAAGATAAAAGAAGAAGAAGAAGAAGATTTAGATAAAAAGATTCTTCAAAACGGAGACCCACAAGACAAAGAATCAGAGAAACAAATCAATGAAATATTTCTTCAAGGTAATTCGTTCGCCTTATCTCAATTAACAAAATGTACATTTGCCATCATAAACAGAATATTAAAAGAAGATATATACTTGTATATATATTTATGTATGTATATGTATATTACGTACACAAATATATATATATATATATACATATATATATATATATATATATATGTATATATATATATATATGTTTACATATATATATATATATATGTATATATATGTATATATATGCTTACATATATATATATAAATATATGTATATATATGTATATATATGTAAATATATGTATATATATTTATCTATTTATATTTACATTTGTATTTGTTTGTATGTATGTATGCTGTGCCTGATGCATAGCTGTGGAGAAATGTCATTACACAATAATAAAGTATATTTGCACGAAGCCAAATATAGAATATTTTTGTATATATATGTAGATGTATTATAGATTTGTATATTAAAAAGAGCAGCGCTGCGCGGTAGAAATATCACTCCTCAACAAAAAGAGACAGCTAAACGAAGGCAAATACATACATGCACATAGACATAAAAAATATTATATATATATGTATGTTTCTCCCGAAACTGTGCAATATATATATATATATATTTATATTTCGTGTAGATATAGGTGTTTATTAATGAATTAGCATTAAAAAGTAAAAAAATTATTATTTATGTTCCCTACGAAAACTGTGGATGCGCCATTCGATGTTTTTTTACCGCGTTTTTGTTCGGTTTCGTATTTCAGTTTAGTCTGTTTATTTAATAATATATAAATGTATTTGCTTATTAATAATTAGATATATATTTAATTATTTATTATAATTCTCACCAATAACAGTATATAATAACGGATACACAGACAGAGACAGAACAACAGCAGCAAGCCTATGAGTAAAAAGATAGAGAATATATGCATATTATTTTAATGTTTTTGTGTTTATTTCTTTTCTCCTTCTCGTTGTCGGTTTTTGTTTACTTTTACCCTTCTTGTTTCCTTTTTAAATAGTTTTTCGTGTTTGTACTCCTTCCTTTTATGCACCTTTTTTTTTCTGTTTCTTAAACTCGTTTTCTTCTGCTGCTGTGCTGCTGCAGCACTGGATGAAAAGCAACGCAGCAGCAAACCCCCAAAGAAGAAGAAGAGAGTAGCAAATGAAAGTACTTCTGATAAAGAGTATACCGCTGATGCAGGTCTTGCAGTAGCAGCACCGAGTGAAGATAAAAATAAATCGTTTGTCTTATCTTCTGGAAGTAAAGAAGCAAAAGAAGACCCAAGCTTAGATGCTGCTTTGTTCTTTATTGAGGGCACGAACGCCTCTCTCAGCAAACGGGAAATCGCAAGAAGAAAGAAAGAAGAAGTATGTTCTCCTTCCTCTTCGTCCTTTTTCTCCTTTTGCACGTCTATAAGAAATGGTTTTCCTTTGACCGATTTCTACTTATAAACAGCCTGATTTATGCATATAAGTACAAATATATATGTATATCTATATATATATATATATATATATATATCTGACGGCGTCTGAGGGGAGGTAGAAGTGTTGCTTTTTTGTAGTTTTGCACAGATGCATATATTTTCTTTGTTTGTACTGGTGAGGCTTCAGAAGAACCCATCTATGTTTGCTCTTTTGTTAATTTTCTTCTATGCCTGTTCTCTTGTTATTTTGCCTTTAGAGAAGTCTCTTTCCATCCCTGCCATTTATTTTGTTGCTTTTGCCTTTTTGTTGTTCCTGCACTTCTATTATTCTCTTTTCTTTGCCTCATTGACTGCCTGCGTCTGCTTCTCTCTGTTTTGTTTGTTTGTTGCCCTCTATATTTCTCTGAATGATAAATGTGCAGTGCTGAGAGAAAAGTTGTGCAAAATGCATTAAAATAATACTTCGATGTGTTTAATTGCAGGCCGCGAAGCTGCGCGCAGCGGAGAGTATAGAGGGCGTACGAAAAAAGACAGAGGGAAAGAAGAAGAAATTAGCAGCATGAAGCCCCTAAAAACAAAACAAAACCATAAATGTACATTAAATACCGAATTAAAACAATGTCCTAGAACAGAAAAGGATCTTTTTTAAATGATTCCTTCTGAACCAGTAGATAGGAGGGAAGGGAGTGCAATCATTTTAAGCCTTTGATTTGACTACGCATATCCTTTTATTCTAAAGGGTAAAAATATTCAATATGATCGTTTATTTGCTGTTTCGTGGTAATAATGCTCTACTACTTCATCGTTAAGCTTAAACTGGTATCCTATGGAGAAGCAGAGGTTAGCAGATTTTGCAAAAAGACGAAAAGTTCAGACCGAACAAATCATAGTGTCGGCTGGCACAATAATAGTTGTATATATCTATAGGGATGTGAACGTATATATATTATCCATAGGATAAAGAATATAAATAACTATATGTTCTTAATAAATAATGCCTTCTTATACAATATGCTAACCGCAGTGAATGCTAATACTGCATATATAGGCTTGAATAAACTAGCAAGAAGCAGCAACGGCGCAAGCTCCTGGAATCCCATGGAGGCTCAAGGCGACAACGCCGAATACCCGAATATACACCCGGGGAAGAGTTTAACTAGTTATAATTTACAAATAAGAAATGCGAAAACAATTAAATGAAAAGAATTGAAGCAAAGCAAGGAGCATATCGGTTTACATGCCTTGGATGCGTTGGGACGGGGGGCCCCCTGAACCGAGCAGGGAGGGGCCCTTCTATGAATCAAAAACGGACGCGAAGGGGGAAATAAAACATCGGAAAGATATTTATTTTGAACTATGACTCAATTTTAAGTTTATTTTTGTTTATTTTTGGATGAAATGTATTTTTGCGGCGCCAGAGCGGCGGCTCCCGAAGACCGGTCCGGTGTGTAGGGAAGAACAAAAAGGAGGATGTGGTGGGCAACTGCTTCTTGTTTTCCGCGTAAAAGTTGAGAAAGTTTGAATTAATTCATCCATTGAAGTTGAATTTGAACGAAACTCGGGGAATGTCGCCGAGTTTTTGCTCCGAGTTTCAGCTGGGTTTGCAAACCATCGTTGCTGCCGACGCCGATCGCGAAACTCCAGATTTCATTTCTTCTGAGCAAGGAGATGCAAATAAAACTCTCTTCGAGTTTGTCGATGTTTCTCTTGACCCTCTTCAGGCATCTCTTTCCTTCAATGGGAGCTCTTCAGCCAACCATCCTTCCGCTTCCTCTGCTGTCGTTTCAACTCAGCAGGGGGAGGCTGGCGGCGACGGCACCGACCTGAACACGCCCCATGTGAAGCGTCTTTCTTTTCTTTCTTCTGCTAATGAGTATAATTGGCCAGATCCGCAGTCTGGTGGAGAAGACAGAAGAAATGCCTCAAGAGAAGATGCAGATCCTCCTCATCGCGAAATCATTTCGCGTTTTTATCGCCTCAAGGCCATCACCCACCCTCATCTCTGTTCATACACCAACATCTTACGGACCCAACGGCGTATTTACCTTGTCTCAGAGTTCTGGTCTCTTTCTCTTCAGGACATAATTGACGCCTGGAACGACAGCAGCAGTACAATACCCGCAGAGGAGAGACCCCAAAAAAGAGAAGAGCCTGCCATTGCTGACTGCCGTGCAGACAATACTCATGTGCGCACCTCCGCTGAAGCCAATACAGGTGCTCCTTCCTCCCCCTCTTCTTGCCTGAGGTGGGACCTCGAGAAGCTGCAGTTCTTAGCAACTGTCGCTGCACAAACTCTCACAGCCTTGGCGCATTTAAACAGTTTCGGTCTTTCTCATAACCGCCTTCAACCGAGAACAATTCGAATTGATGCTCACGGCAATGTGCGTCTCAGTGAGTGGGGCCTTTCTTATCTTACGGATGGGGGGAGGCTGGCACCCTCTGCCGATCTCTTATCTCCTTTCTGCTATCTCGCCCCTGAACAAGTACTGGCAGGGCCTCAGGTTCTTTCCAATACGCCAGTCTGCGGTAAACATGATATATGGACGCTCGGAGCAATCCTTCTGCATATTCTGCAGCCCCCATGGCCGATCTGGCCTTCTACGCTTGATCTTCAATCTAACAGCAGCAGCGGCGGCGGCAGCAGCAGCAGCAGCAGCGGAAGCAGCAGCAGTAGCAGCTGTTACCGGGGGAGAAGTGACAGCAGCAGCGCGACATCAGACGAGGGCGTCCGCTATCACACCAACTGCAGATCTGCTGATGGGGGTTCTTCTTTCTCTGTTCAGGGCGACATAGAAAAGGAATGTAAAAAGCATAAGAAAGGAGAAGACGACTGTTTACAGCTGGTTGATGAGGCTCTGAGGAACGTAACTCAGTTAGTTCTGTTCAGCTCCCTTGGCATAGACTTCCAGCTGCTGCTACCGCTGCACCCCACAGAAGCAGAAGCAGAAGCATCAGCAGCAGCAGCAGCACAACACCCTACAGCCCCAGCAGTCTCTGCTTTTGGGACAGAACTCTCCCGCTGGCTGCTGCAGCGTAAGTCCTCGCTTCTCTCTCTAATGCGGAAGGCTGTCGGGCCGCCTTGTTTTATGGTGCCTCCCCGTACGTACACCGCAGCGCTCACTGCTGCAGGAGGTCGAGGAGGTGCAGACCAGAAGAATTCAAATACTTCTTCAGAAGAATCTGACGCAGGAACTGCGGGCGCCTCTCAGCAGGCTCGCGGCGCCACTGCTGCAGCAGCAGAAACAGCAGCAGCAGCAACAGCAGGAGAGCCAGCACCATCAGGATCGCTGAAGGAAACAGAAGAGCTTCTGTTGCAGCGTTGCATAGACGGGCTGATTCAGTGGCTTTCTGGGGCTTATCTCTGTCGTCGGCCTCACTTTTGCTGGGGGCAGCTTTCCTTACAACAACAGCAATCAGGAGCATCAACAGGAGCAGCAGCAGGAGCAGCAGCAGAAGCATCAGAAGGAGCAGCAGGAGCCGCAGCAGAAGCATCAGAAGGAGCAGCAGCAGAAGCAGCAAAAGGAGCAGCAGAAGAAGCAGCAGGAGCAGCAGCGGAGGCAGGACCAGGATCAGCAGCAGGAGCAGCAGCAGGAGCAGCAGCAGGAGCCTGCAGTTCAGATGCTGACGTGTCTTCCAAAGGAGTCGGTGGTTTGTGTGCTGATGATGAAGAGGCGTTGGTTTTTCTGACGGAAGAAATAGAAAAATTGCAACAGGTACTGCGGGCGTGTTTAAGAATACACCCCTCTAGCAGGCCGTCAGCAGCAGAGCTTCTTGCACTGCAGTGGCTGCAGCAAACGCAAAGAGAGCAGCAGCTTTGGTGTTTAAAGGGCGCCGACTCACTTGGCTTGATTGCCCAGTTAAGGGTAGAGGAGGAGCTGCAGCGGGTCCTGAACCACCAAGAAGATGAAGACGGTGCGGGTTTGTTTAAGTGATAGATGATTGTTTTGCTGTTCTTTCTGTATGCTGATGTCGCACCTCCGCCTCTCTTCCTATCTCTCTTTCTGTATTTCTTTCTGCTTCTCCTTGTGCTTCTGTTTCTGGCTGTCTTTTTCTCTGTCTGTCTGTCCGTCTGTCTGTGCCTGTCTGCCTGTGTGCTCTCTGTCTGTTTGTTCCCCTTCCTTTATTAGTTTGTCTTTTAGAAGCGTGTTTGTGGGTCAGTGTTTCGGGTGTACGTACAGTTAACACTGCGATGTACACTCATTCAGGAGGTGCACTGGTGTGTTGTGTGCGTTCAGTTTCTGTTTCTGGCTGGGCGCTTCCATGGCTGCCGTTTTCTCGTCTGTCTCCTCAGCGCAGCATTTTCGATTTGCTGTTGCTGCATCATAACATCGGCCTGGAGGAGGTCTTCTACTGGTGGGAGCTGCAAGGAGGGGATGTGCATGCCTCTCTGGCTGCTGCAGGTGCCTTCAGGGCGGTCCCTCCTCTGTTTTTGCTGCCTCTCTGCTGCCTACGCGCTCCTAATACAAACAGCAGCACTCAGGAGCAACACAAAGTAGGAGAAGAGGGGCCCATAGAAGGCCTGCAGCAACAGCAGCAGCAGCAGCAGCAGCCGTCCTTGCTGCGAGTTGAGTTTCTTGCTGCTTTTTCTGGCTGCTGGGGAAGAGAGGACGAATTTGTTGATAGAGAAGATGCGAGAAGAAGACGTGATGGACCCAGTAATAATGAAGAGGGGAGAAGGAGAGAAGACACAAACAAACAACAACCATTGGTTTACGGCTGCAGCTGCTCGGCACACACCAGCGCAGCGGCCATTGCTGTCTGCAGCAGCACGCGGGAGCAGCAGCACCAGCAGAAGCAGCAGCAGCAGCAGCTGCAGCAGCATCAAGAAGGGGCCCCCAGCCAGTCAGCAGTAAGCAGCGGCACAGGGGAAAGGGGCCGCACAGGGCAGCAGGCACAACCGGACGACTCTACGGCTGCTGCTGCTGTTGCAGCACCCGACACAGAACGCAGCCTGGAGGCGAGCGCAGCAGCGCGAGAAGCGAAAGCAAAAGCAGAAGCAGCAGCAACATCAACAGCAGCAGCAGCAGCAACGCCGGGAGACGATGCCTTTTTCAGCACAGGGTTTTCCCAGGGCAGGAGCTGGCGGGATATTCGCCTATGGAAAGAAGGCGACCTCAACGTAGTCGGTCAGTGCATGCACCACCTACGACCTTCACTCACTGACTGCTGCTACTGCTGTTGCTGCTGATCCTGATTCCGCTGCTGGTGGTGTTGCTGCTGATCCTGATCCTGCTGGTGCTGCTGCTGATGCTGTTGCTGCTGCTGCTGCTGGTGTTGGTAGTTTGCGGTGAATATGGCTAGCTATTGAAACGTTGCATTATTATCATCATTATTCTTATTATTTATTATTCTTTATTATTATTCATTATAATTATTATTATTGTTAGTATTGTTATTATTATTACGCTTCTCTTTTAATCTGTTTTATTTTGCTTCATCTGCTCTCAGGTGTATCTCTAGAGGAGACCGTGCGCGCCCTGCAAGAGGCCGATCGATTCCCTGTCAGTCAAATGCTGGAGGTAAGGCCTTTTATGACGAATTGCTGCATTATTTGCTGCAGCTGCTTCCGCTGCATTCAGTGCTGCGGCTGGTGCTGCATTCATTGCTGCGGCTGCTGGTGCTGCATTCAGTACTGCTGCTGCTGGTGCTGGCTCCTTTTCTTTCGCGTTTGTGTCTCTTTTCTATTGCCCGAGAAGGGGATACAGAATTGCTGTCATATGTTTATATGTATATATGCATTGAACTTCATTCTTTTTGTTTGCCTTTGTTTGTTTGTCTCTCTGTGTGTTTGTCTCTTGGTTCGTCTTCCGCATTACCTGCTTGTCTCTTTGTTTGTTTATCTCCTTGTCTGTTTGTTGCTTTCTTTGTTGGTTTCTTTGTTTGCCTGCATCTCTGTTTTTCTGTTTGCTTGTTTGTCTTTTTGTTTGCTTGCTTCGTTGTTTGCTTAGCTCGTTGTTGGTCTGCCTGTGCATTAGTCCGTCCTTGTCTTCCGCCGCTTTCTGTCTTTTCTCTCCGCCTCCCTCCCCCTGTCTTCTCTTTTTCTTGCATTATGTTTGTCTCCATCACTGTTGCGGCTTCACTCGTTTTTCTTCTGTCTTGCAGGTGCGGCCTCCTTCGGTGTACAGACGGCAGGGCCATTTTCTCTATCAGCGACTCAGGTCTGCATTTGCTGCTAATCCGTCTTTCTGCTGTTGCTGCTCCTGCTGGCCTCTTGATAAGGAAGGGGGAGCTTCTGCATGCATTTAGCAAACAGCCGCAGCAGCAGCAGCTTTGACTGACCTTTTGGCATTCAGTGCACTGTTTTGTGATTGTGCAAGCGAGTATCTCCCCAGTAAAAAACGAGATATGTTTTCTTTTTTGTGTGTGGAGGGCTTTTCTCTGTCTTTCGTTGGTTTGGGGTGTATGCTGCATTTCGTTCGAGCAGTTGTTCTTTAATCCGTATTTCGTGCTGTTTTCTGTCCTCTACTTTGCGTTATTTTCTCCTGTCTACTTCACGTTGTCGTCTGCTCTTCAATTCTTGATGCTCTTTGTTTTGTACCTCTTGTTGGTGGTTTGTGTTATGCATGCATTCTTTGTTGTCTTCTGTTCTGCATTTCATGTTGTTTTCTGTTTTATTTTTGTGTTGTTTTCTGTTTTTCTTTCTTACTCACTATTCAGAGTTCGCCTCTTTAAGTCGCTGTTGGCGCAGCTGCCTAAAAGCCGGCACCGCCTGATGGAAGAAGCATCAAGAGATATCCCTCCCCTCCTTCGCCCTGAGGTCTGTACACCCCATAGCAGCGCACTTGCTGATGCTTCTGTTGCTCTTTTTAAGGGAACGCACACGCCGCACAACGCAGTCTTTTCTCTATAGTAGTCAAGAACCCTACTCCTGCAGAGCGGAAGGACAAGAAGGCTCGGGCCACTGCTGCTAGTGCTGCTGATGCTAAGTGTTCTGCTGCTGAGGCTTATACTGCTGCTGTTGCTGCTACTAATGCTGCTTCTGCTGCTGCCGCTGCAAATACTTCAAATGCTGCTGTAAACGTTACTGCTGCTGCTACTTCTGATTGTGCTGCTGCTGCTGCTGCTGCTGCAGATATGGGCGGCATTGTTGGGTGTAAATTTGGTTGGTGTTTTGCACACCACTCGGTTTATCTACGACGAGGCTGTCGCCTCTTTAAGCCACTCCGTCCTGGAGGCCCTGCAAACAAGCGGCTTCTCTCAGTACCACGAGGTGAGTGCGGGTAGTAGCGATATAAACAAGCAACAAGGAAATGCACGATGAATGCATATATATATATATATTATAATGCATATATATATATATCGTAGAGTGACATACAAGTGTGAGCGTGAAACATGAATACTTCGCCGTCTGATGTGCAAAAGTACACCCAATGTGGACCGCCTAGTAAGCGGATCCTTTTTTGTCTTTGTTGCTGGTGCGTCGGTGCTGGTGTTGTTTTTCTGCTTTTGTTGTTTTGTTGTTTCTGTTGCTGCCCCAATGCAGGTTTGCTATTCGTGTTGGGTTTTTTTTGTGTTACTTCTCGGTGCATGCGTTTGCTGTTACCTCTGTTGCAGTCTGTACCTCGTATGGGAGTGCATATTGTCTGTTTGTTTGTTTTGTTGCTTCCTCTCTAATATGCGGCGCAGTATCACGATCTGCTGGGTAGCAGAGAGGGCCGTCGTCGCCTTATGAATTTGGTTGGGGTGGCGTTGCAGCGGAATCCGCTGTATGTCTCTGTGAGGGGAATGGATGCGTTGGCTGCCCCTTTGCTGCTGCTGTTCTATGATAAAGAAAATGTGGCTCTCGCCTGCTTAGAGAAGCTGCTGCAGAACTTTCAGCAGCACCTCTTCGCTGCAGACAGCGCGGCCTTCCTACGACGACAGCTCGTTACCTCCAACCGCCTCCTCCTCTTCATTGACCCTCAACTCGCACTACACATGAACACACTCGGTATTTATTCACATTCAGTCCTCCAAATGACCCTGCTCCCGCCGCTACTGCTGGCGCTAATGCTGGTGTCCCTGCTGCTGCTGCCGCTGCTACTACTGGCACTGCTAATGCTGTCGCTGCAGCTGCTGGCGCTGCTGCTACTGTTGCTGGTAGCGCTGCTGCTACTGACACTGCTGCTGATGCTGTCGCTCCTGCTGCTGTCACTCCTGCTGTCGCTCCTGCTGCTGTCGCTCCTGCTGTTGCTGCTGCGAGAAGCAGCAAGGATTTTTGTATTGATGTGCTGCACCGCAAATGGTGTGTTGTTCGGACAAAAAAGCTGGAGGAAGCCATATTATGCACTCTGAGAAGCAGAAAAGGCGCACACAGAGATAAATACGAAGAAACGGACGGAGACAAGAGCAGCGATGAAAGAGGCAGCCAGACAAGCAGAGGCTGGCGCTGCGAGAGGGATAAACAGAGAGAGCCCTGAATAGAAGAAGGCAGTGAAATAACTTCGTCATCGGTGGAGGTCTCTGCTGCGTTTGGTCTGTTTGTTGCAGGTCTACATTCAGACATGTATGCGTTGTCGTGGCACTTGACGCTCTTCTCCCACGTGCTGCCGCTGCAGCAGTTGCTGCTGCTGTGGGATACGTTGCTGCTGCAGCCTCCAACGTTTGTGCATTTTCTGACGGTGTGCGTACTGCACTATTTGCGGGGCCCTTTGCTTCGTTTGTCTCCTGATGAGCAATCCACGGCCTTTCGGCTTTTGCAGGCTTCCTTTGGGTTTGTTAATATCGCAGCCCTCTGTGCTGCAGCAGTCGCGCTGCAGAACGCAGTGCCCTGGTCTCTCACCCTTATGCGTCTTCCTCTTGACGAAGCAGCAGCAGCTGAACCTGCTGCTGCTGCTACTGATGCCTCTATTCCAACCAACGATGAAGAGGCAAAAAGACTAGGTGAAAGTACCTCAGAGGCGGGGAGGAACTCCTTGGAAGCCGAAAAAAGAACACCGCAAGCCACAACTATGGAGAAGGAACGAGAAGGGGAGAAGACAGAGACAATTAACTTACGGAAAAACGAAGGCCCTGATGCTGATGTAGCAACTGCTGCAGCACCAGTTGCAGCAAGTGCTGTATCGCCGATGCAGCGGTCGCCTGAGGCGCAGCTGTTTTTTATTGGAGACGGAGAACAGTTGCAGGAAAAGCAAGAGCGGCCCAATGGGGTGTCCAGACAGCGTAATCAGACGGAAAGACAAAATGGCGCTGCAAGCTCCCCTAGCAGCGCCTTCTCTCCCGCCAGCAGCGCAGCACAGGGAGGAGCAGGAGCAACAGCAGCAGCAGCAGCAGGGGAAGACGCAACGGCCATGCGGAAGAGCCCCAGCTGGGGAAGGAAGGCCCTGATGCGAGTTATGACGGGACCCGCCCTCATTCTCCTCGGCCCTCCCCGCAAGGCAACTGCAACGAAGGCATCGCAGCAGAAGAACAGTTCACAGTGAGGGGCACCCAAGCTCTACATTGCATCTTTTAAATTGCATATTATGGTCCGATAGTGCTTAAGTTCAATTAGAATCGCTGAAAATAACTGAAGAGAGGTTGTTGAACTGACGGAGAAAATGTGTACAAGGGCTTCGCGTGTTCTTTTTCATTGTTCGTTTCGTTTGATGTTTATGCTAAAAAGGAGATAATGGAAGAATTAATTTGCTCTTGTGTTGTTGCATGGCCAAAGACGGGCTTCGAAGAACCCCTCCCCTCTCCGTGCGAAGTTTATTTTTCTCTGTGTAGCCAAGTCGTTAGCAGCAGAATGTGCAACAAATTGTTCTTATAGACAATAACAACATGTTGCTGCTGTTGCTATACGCAATACAAAAGCAAAAGAAACACAATTTGCTGCACATTCTGCTCTTTTCACCGTTTACCGCTGGTGCTTGATAGTAGTTGTATTGCAGCTCTTGTGTGTTACAGGGTTGTACGATGAGGTATTTGTTTGTTTTTTCATTGGGATAGGGAGGGAATGATGCGGGTTGAAAAAGCGCACAGAGGCTAAAGGGGAAATATCTCTTTCATTCGTTTCGTTTTCGCACGAAATGAGCCTAGCTACTGCCAGCTGCTCCATGGGTGCTTACAGCTGCGGACATTGTCTTCGCGTTTATTTTCGTCTACTGTTTGTTTTCAGTTGTTGTTTTCTCTGTGTTTGTGACTCGGCGCAGATTTGCAGACCCTATGGAGGCTCTGTACTCGAATGAGCCTTTGGCGCCACGTTGGTGGGACAAGATGAGTGAAATATCATTTCTGAGGCTGACATCACCTGCTTGGTCAGCAGGGAGCGTCGTTGAAGGTACATACACTGCTGAAGAAGGAGGGGATGACCTTGCGCTGCAGCCCCCGTGCATTGGAGTTGATGTGCTGCTGCAGTTTTATGAGGAAAGCGTCGTGTTAGACATTCGCCCCCGCGCCGCGTTCGAGCTTCTACACCTCAGCAAGGCGATCAGTGTCACTCCTAAAGACGTTCACGAACTTATTGGCCTGCTTAAAGAAGGACAATTGACGCTGCCAGACCCGAGGGGCGTTCAAATACAAATGCAGAAGTTCGGCAGCAGCAGCAGCAGCCGCCCCCTCATCAGTAAGGTGACCCGCGCCGCCTCTGGAGGCTCTTCTTCCCATGAAGCCTTTAAAGCAAGAGCAGCAGAAACAGCGGGTGCAAATTCAACACCCACAAAGTTTGTTGCTTCAGAGGCTCACGAAGCAGCATCACAAACAGCGAGGGGTGGGGGAGGTCAGGCCGCAGCGCCTGCTCCTGCTTCTTTAAAGCCCTGGATCTCAGCTACAATGGGCAGCCTTCCTTTAATTGTTGTCGTTGGGGATAAAGAAGACTGCGGCGCTGGACTCGCAAGGCGGCTGCTCAGTGCCGGGGTGGCCTGTGTGTGCGTCTTGTTAGGGGGTATTGATGCTTTGCAGCTCGACGCACCCAACGACTTCCTCACAAGGAAACAACGAAAATAACTCGTGCTCATTTTAATAATGTGCTAACAATAGTTGTTTCTTTCGCCATAAACGCGGATGCTCACAAAGAACAAGGAACTGCACTGAAGGCAATCACCAGAGTAGCGACACTAAGAGCAGGGAGTACCTATAAAATGAGCTAAATCTGAGGGCACAACAGTTGTAGAACAACACAAAACTAATGATTTATTCAAACGCAACAGCAGCACATTGGCCGCATCATTTCATCTTGCAATAACGGCAAAAACAAAGAGGACATCCGCGCTGCGTATTCAAAAAAAATATTTTCGCCGAAGACTTGCAAATGCTGCAGCACTTAGTAATGCAACATTTATCTGTCTCCTCAGCAAGCAAAAAGTGCAGCAGCTGCTCCCGCTATAATAACAACGCGATATTCCTGCAACATTTCGTTTTTAGGATGTGCATCTCGTTCTACAACTGTTAAATAACCATAACAGTTGTAGAACAACGCTAAACTAATGATGCGCCACATCGGCCGCTTCACCCTGATCATGATACTTCTATACTTACTTGTATAAATATGAATAAATGTATTCATATATATATATATATGTATTTTTCCGAATTCGGCATTTGCACGTCAGGAAGTAGCCCCTGGCTCCCTCTTGCCCCCAGCACATGCCCTGTGCTTGACAGGCGTTTTCGCATCTTCTGCATTCTTGAAGCAAGCACCACTTTATTCACTAAAACCAAATGAATCGCCTTTTACACTATTTTCAATTGATAGGCCTAGCGTATCCGATGATTGGAGATTCGTTTGTCCACAACTAAACGGGTAAAATTTCAAGTCTGTTTCCTCTCGCTACTATCTTTTTTCACAGGCTGTCTGTTGAATTCTTTGCTATTTCATTTGTATAAAAGAACAAATGGCGGCCTTTGGTGCCGCAAAGCGGCTGAAAGCTGCAAATTACTACAACACCGGTTCCACATAACGCCTGCTGGCACGTTTGGAGGGAATCCCACGATGTGCTTGCCTAGCCTGGATGGTTGTCTACCTTCCTTCACGCGCTCAGACCACAAATAAAAAAGAATCCACTCACAAAGCAGCCGGTTTAGGCTATGAGCGACTGCAACGTGTTCTTGCGACTTCACCAAGTGTTGATGCGTCGTGAATAATACAGATTACTATGCTGCCCCAGCCGAACAGGCTCAGTAGGGGCAAAAATTCACTTAAATCCCCGAGCAGGTGCACCCATAACCTCGTCATAAACAAATGCGATAAAATATTTAAAATTTTTGCTATGAACAGACAAGTTTGCAAGTCCGGCAAGTGACTTGCAAACTTGTCTGGCCGTGGTTAGGGGCATGCTTATTAGCAACGTGGGGAGTTGACCCAGCAAAAAGCAACTTTAATTCAATTTCTAAAAGTAAAATGTTAACGGAACTACCATTAGGGGATGGAATTCCTTTATATCACAGTGCCCTACGTTAAACTCCTGTGTAGCGGAGCCCCGCGCGGCGCTGCATGCTACAAAGTGTTGAAAGAAACGGGATTCAGCTGTATGTTTAGTGCTGCAAATTTGCCCCTGTCGATATACTGAGTAAACATATACGAATATATTTAACATAAACCTTATTTCGCCTGGAAATACGGTCTATGTGGGGAGGAGTCGCATGCGCCTACGGCAGCCACCAGACATAGGCGCCGATTTACAAGGTGCGCTCTCACCCGAAGAAACGTTGCTTTGAAGCGTTTCGACTGGCCTTTTTATATTGGCAATGTAAATATCAGCTGTTTGCTTTTCAAGACTTAGAACAAACGGTGGTCCTTCTTCTCTTTCACTCTTGTGGATCGCGGTAACTCAGCAGGAAACCGACGTTGACATAGTTTTACGTACGCAGATTCCTTTTTCACAGTATGCTGCGTAGAGTGGCTGTGCTTCTGTTGAACAGCGTTGATTAGAGACCTAAGAAACATTGGGGGAGTTTCTTTGCTTTCAATCCGGCGGGCCCAGACAGGAGCGGAAGCCGCTGTTCATGTTGGTCCCTGCTGAAGCTCATCCAATGATCCGACGATTAAATTAGGCATAAGGTCAATATCCAGTTAAATACAACCGTGCATAGGGCGTTTGCAACACCGGCAAGGGAGTGAACGGGGCCGGGGCTTCTTCTTACTGTCGGTAGAGTTGCTGTGCTGCGTCAGCCATTCACGATGGCGGAGCATCTGGCGCGGATCATTGGAACGGAGGAGGACAGAGTCAACTGCCCCTTCTACTGGAAGATCGGGGCTTGTCGTCACGGAGATCAGTGTTCAAGGTCCCACTACAAACCCTCCTCTTCGCCAACCATCGTCCTTCGACACATGTATCCAAATCCCCCTGTGGCGATTGCCATTGCAGAAGGTCAAAACGGTAAGCGCGCAAGCCTAGCAGGCCAGTGCAACTTGCGCAGAAGTACAGAGTAGAGGTGTTTAGTGCCCACAGAATACCCGCTCATGCTGGGCCTAACCCTGTATAAATGACGGCACAGGGGTCGTGTCAGTGCTTCTCTTCAGAGCTGTCCTTCTACTTTTATCTTGTTCTCGTGCTTTTCGTTCAGTCTCTGATGAACTTTTAGATGAAGCTGCAGATCACTTCGAAGCCTTTTTTTCGGAAGTTTTCGAGGAATTGTACAAGTACGGCGAGGTCGAGGACATGGTCGTCTGCGATAATATTGGAGATCACATTATTGGAAATGTTTATGTGAAGTATTCAGACGACGATGCGGCAAAAAAGGCGCTTTCTGCTCTCCAGGGACGCTATTATGCTGGTAAGCATTTTCTGGTTTTGAGACAGTTCTACGAATCGTGCTCCAGGGCTCTCTCCTTGCTGGCAAGGTGCTCTTGGGGATCCGCTCGTTTCTACACATATTGAATGATTTATGTGTATTTGCATTTTTGCAGGAAAACCTATTCAGGCTGAGTTCACGCCAGTCACTGACTTCCGAGAGGCCCGCTGCCGCCAATTCGTAGACGGTCAGTGCCGCCGTGGTGGCTATTGCAACTTCATGCATCTAAAGCACGTTCCCCGCTCTTTAAAGCGAAAGCTTTTTAATAAGATGTATGAGGAGCATCCAGAATATAGAGAGAAAGTTCGTGGAGGAAGGCGATCAAGGTCGCGATCTGCGTCCCCACATAAGCACAGACGGTGAGCACTCCCACAGTATGCGCTTCCTCAGAAAGATGCGTTCTTGGGTGTGTTCAACCCAGAGCACTCTCTGCACAGTGCAGTTTTCAATTGATGGCTCTTGTGTCGCCTTTGCCTTCATTGTGCAGCTCATCGAGCCTTCATAGGCCTGAACGGCCGGAGAGAAGGACCAGTGAAGAACGACGTGCCATGATCGCCCAGTGGAATCAGGAGCGCGACGCTGCGCAGAGCTGAAAGCCCAGAAGCACACTGACATATTTTTGACGGACAGTTCCTGAGGGGCAGTTCCGTTTGCCAAGCCAACTGTATTCAAGGGAGTTCGTTGTGGAGGCAATCATGCTAGGACAAATTGGGAGGCTGAATGCTCCATGGGATGAGCGGGAAGCACACTGGGCATGTTGAAGGCGCAAATTGAGCACCTGGCAGGTCGCTTATATGTACTGGCCTGTCGTTATGGACTAGTGTTGTGGCTACTAACTGTCACATTTCAAATTGCTTTCGGCACTTTCATGCGTGATGGAGGCTGCTCATCGTCTTGCGTTTGTGGAAACAATGTCAGTCGCCTGACAGAGTAGTCCCACATACTGGGGCTAGACAGTTTCACATAGAGGCCGTTTCGACATTGTGGTTAATTCATGTGCATCACTTTGCAGACTCTTGAAATACTAGCCGCTGAAGTTTTTCTGGCGAGGTGCGCGCGGTTTCGCAGTTCGTTTCCTAAATCCGATACGTCATTCTGAATATAAACATGATACGTAGCAGTATCACTTTTGTATTTTATTCACTAGGCTTGTTGAAATGGAGATGGCTATAAAAACGCCGAAAATAACAAATAGTGACGGGAGGTAGTGACATGTGCAGCGCCACCTTGGGCAGTACGTACACCTCAGGCCGTAGACCTATCCACGCGTGCGTAGTGTGATCATAGATTAATTTTGATACATGACGCTAGTGTCGCGGTGTGTACATTTTTTGGATCCTCCCCAGCTGCCGCACGTGCAGTGAGGTTCGGAATTTCCGACACAATTTCCGGCTTCGACAACATTTATCGAAGATGTTCCAAAACATTCTGAGGTCGCTTAGCGGCTCCTTTGCTGATCTTGGAAGATGGGAGCCAACGGCAGACCGTTCAGAGGGCGCGCTTCGTAATGGCATTGAAAAGTCAATACTTTTCGTCTTGTGCTCCTCGGCAATCATGGGCATATCTGCTCTGACCCTTGTAAGTGTGAATTTGCTCTTCATAGGAGAACATCCATTTTCATTTGGTTCTTAGGGCATAAGCCAACAACCGATATACTGCGATCGAGGATTGGCATTTTGGAATGGCCTCTTAGGAGGTATGTCGTGCTCCAATCCACTGCTTTCAACAAGCTTCTAGTTCAACCTACCGTCAATCAGCTATCATGCTGACCTTGGCTGCTGCGTGCTCTGCTGCCTTGTTCTTCGACACGCAAGCCGTCCGATGTAAGGCAGATTCAGCTTTGGAAGTGACGAATTCTTCTCACCTTCTGCTCAGTGATAGCCAAGCTGATATGGACGAACTGTGAATCAAGCTTCTTCGAGTTTGGACCTACTGCGTTGCACGTTGCTGCCCTTGTTGTTGGATGGTATGCCAGTCACTTGCCTTCATGTAAACCATAGATAACCTATCTTCCTTTTAGCCCGTTGGTGGCTCTGCTTTGGATCATGCGTGGTAAGTGGAAAGCTTGTTCCAGGCAACTGTGCATTTCTCCAAAATACCACGTTTCAGGATACGTTGACTTGACGTCTTCCCCCACATGCCGCAACACCGCCGCTTTGCTTTACGGGGGAACGATCACCAATCTAACATTGTCAGTCTTTTTTTCATTCGGAATTTCAAAAGAAAGATTCGTAATTCGCTCTTCAGGGTTGTCAGTGCTCTGTCTTTTGCGTCTCTGATGATCAGCTACTACATTGCCTCGTCGAAACGCTTCTACGACATCGCTATCCTGTCCTGCATCTGCGATCCTATCTCAATTGTAAGAAACTACTTGCGTAGTATACCTTGCACTAAAAACAGTCTCAAAAAAACGTTTACAGGCTGTCGAGGGCGTTGCTGAGCGCCTTCCGGAACCACCGAGAGTCCGGCTGCCCGCAATCGTTCCTACGCTTGACGAATGCGTAGCGAAGCTGCCCTCCTACGACAAGACAAGATCTTTCGTAAAGCGCATCGTTGAGACGCTTACCCCCGTGTCCCTTCCCCAGAGATTCCATGCTCTCATGGATACACGGGTGTACTAAATTCATTTCACCTGCCTCGTCACGCGAGTAATGGTCAACCTATTGTTGAATCAAACGGCCATCATGGCCTAGCTTTTTCACACGCACACAAGAAGACTATGAAATTCAGAAAGTTGAGCAGCGTTTTGAGTAACCCAACCCAGGCTTGCAGTGCATTGGGAAAATGCCAATCAAGCCCCCCCCGAGCATGCATCTTATCTAGTTCTGTTCTGTTTCGAAACGTTGACATTGGTTCAATTCGCGTTAAAATTCCATGGGCAGCTGCTGCCGCATTGCCGTCGATGCCCTGAGAACATTCGAACACGAAACCACTACAATGCCGCATGCAAAAGCGCTACAGCTGATGTAAACCAACTGTCCTAAGCCACGGCTCCGTTCCTATGAACTCAGCCGTCTGCTACGACTGTATTTGTTGGGAAAATTGTGCAGCTACACGCCCATCTGGAGGCTTAAGCTTCACCGCTTTGACAAGTTGAAAAACAGATACCATAACAGAAGTCAACCATTCCCACACTGCGCAGCTAATAACTACAGGGGACAAGCTTACCTAAGAAGAAAAGCTCCCAGGTCTCTGGTATATGCTTTTGGGAGATGGAGGATTGCGAAACGTTCTGCAAGATATCGCTGCGTTGACGACGTATGCTCGTCAGGCACAAATCCCAGGAATATCTCGCAGCCTGGCCTGAAGGTCTTGCACGTTGGGTATCCGGTAGCGACGGATAATTCCATATTACCCATGGCTATGTTTGATTCGCCGGCATTGTTTGGGTACCTTCGGCCACCATCTCTTTCGGAACCAGGAGGGCAATTTATAGGGGGAGAATATATGCAGGATAAATAGTGCGACAATTCAACGGATTTTCGCACTCCTTTTGGGGGTAGTATCTGGTCAGAAACAAAACAGATGTCCGCATTGAGGCAGGAAAAGCAGCATTTGGGACATGCATAATGCATGCAAATATTCCTTGTGCAAACATTCCTTCCGTGCAACGTGCCGTGGCTGGCATGCCCGGTAACTTACGGTGTTTCCGAACCTCCTGATTATGGCTATCGCTGTGTTCAAGTTCCCATTTAAACACAGTTGCAATACGAGGCTTTGTTGTAGGAAACTCCTCAAGGGCCTCACAAAAGTTGAGAGGTATGCTACAACCTGGAACATGGAGACTTCGTTTTCTGCAGGGGTATCTCTTATTCTTCCTCTTTCTGCCGAAGAAACTTGCACCTCCCCCGAACCTCGCACCCACCACTTCAGAAGGAAGAGCTGGATGTATTGGGCCCAGCAAGGGGACGTTGATTCATTAGAAATACTGCTACGGTGGACCATCGCGGTGGTTGTGTGGGCCTCTTTCCACGTGTCATCATCCCAGAGATCTTCCTCAAGAAGCTCCGTTACAAACGGGAATAATGTAGTGGCGGTGAAAGCGCAAGCACGTCCAGTCAAGAGTAGCAAGCAAGCAGCTGCGAATGCATGGGCCAGCTGAAGCATGTCTGGCTCAACTGGAATGTCAGCATTTGCATGAATGAGAGTCGCATGATGGTGCAAGTCCGAAAGAACGATTGAACCTGAATGCCTATGTTTGCTGGGTGCGCCACTGATTGGGTGTTTTTCCAGAAGCCGCTTGACCGCCTCTATATGGAGCTTCGCATCCCACGTCATCAGCATTATTAATGGTGATGGTTGTCCTTTCCAGAATAAATGAGCCTGCAGGCATCGCACCGCCATTTCAAGGCAAATAGTATGATTTGCTGTAGCTGCTAAGGGAACAACACGTTTCTGCTTACATTTTCAGCGGCATATTTTCCAGAGAGAAGCCGAAGGATCATGAACTCCTCGATGCTTTCCGCTGCACGGAGCAATGCATTCCAGGCTTTCTGATGTGTCATTGCCAGCTCTTGAGTCTGGCAGGGAGGAGGAGCTGGTCGCGTTTCTTGAGGCAACTGCAGAATTGAGTCGCTCCAGAAAGGACTCCAGCGCATGGCCCCGGAATCATCTTCTTCCCACTGCTTCCGCCACCCCCTTCCGCCTCTCCACAGAAGAAGACCAGCACAGCGCATGAGTACGGAAGCGCGAGAGGTGCTGAAGACGTTGCCTTCTGCTTCTAACGTTTCGATGACTCGCAGGACAAAGTGCCCGATCTCCGACTCGTCATGTTCTCGCGATGCCGCCGTACGCACGTCTAAGAGACTGATGCACAACTGCCTGTCCTCCTTCCCAGGAAACAGTGCGTATGCGGCCAGTCTGTCGAGGCATCTTTCTTGTGTTTGCAAAAGCTCCGATGCGCTATTAAAGCAATTGGTTGCTAGGGACTCCACATTGGTTTGCTGCTCAGCATCCAGGACTTCGAGACTGCTGCACAGAGATCTCGTGTGCCCCACGAGTACTTGAAACAGGCGAATTTGAGTCAGCAGCTGCTCTGACTCACAAACCGTGTTGTCGCACTTGCAAGCTGCTTCTTCGTCAGGACAGGAATCACGAGTTATTTGCTGTAATACGAATAATGCAAAGGCGAGGGATTCGCAGGGGCTCTTCAGCGGTACGCAGGCTGTACGCTGAAGGAGTGTGTCGAGAGCGGCTTCCACCTTGTCGGAGTTTCCTTCCACCCCCTCTGCCTCCTTTTGCAGCAGCTCCTGCTGTTCCTGCTGCAGCTGCTGCTGCTGTTCCTGCTGCTGCACAGGTTTCCAGCGGCAGCGAAGCCAAGCTGAGAAGCCTGTGGATATGAGGGCAGCCAGATCTAACAAGACAGCAACCCTGGGAGAGGCGGCTGATTTTGCCTTGCTGTGGCGCGGGCGCAAGAGGACATGTCTGCATGCGAGTCTCCAGAAGGTTCCACTGAAGGCTTTATACACCTTGTCTGTTGCTGTCGTCAGCAGTTCCGCCGCTGCTTCGGGCACAGAACACTCCTCAGAAAAGAATGAAGAAGGGGCGGCCACACGCTGTTCCCAGGAAGCCGCAAAAGGCAGAATGGCGACAAGTTTGTCGAGCAGCTGTTGTAGTTTGTTTATGAGTTCAGCTCTTTCAGCGGATCCCATACAACCATCCGCTTCCGAATGCGGTAGCTGCTCTCTGTCCTGCTGCTGCTGCAGCATCTGCTGCATGGGGAGCGCGACGAGAAGCTGGAGAGAAGGGCCTAAGGGCTTGACGCGCATGAGCAGGTGCTCCCATTCTTCGAGCGGCAGGTTCTGCAGTATGATGGACACGATGTCGTTGGCAGCGCCATCAGCCTTTACAGAGCAGCAGGACTCTCGCGGCCGCTCCGAAGCCTCTACAGCGTCCCCTGCTGGCGGCCGCCTCGCGCGCTGAGCCGCCGCTGCTTGCTGCAACTCGTAGTTCTCTAGCACGTCAAAGGCAGGGAAGGGAAGGCCAAAAAAGTTTTTCTTGAGCTGCTGCAGATGCTTTTCAAGTGCAGAGAAGCAGAGGGCAGCGGCTGAACTCCGCTGCAGCAGACACTTCATCTGCTGCCGCAGCGACATCGCCACGCAAATGTTGCTGCTGTCAGCAGCTGCAGCAAAACTGGTGGCAAACGGATCGTCCAATAGAACAGGAGCTGCCCTTGGGTGTATCTGTGCTGTTTCCTGTGGCCGCAGCAACACCTCCCCGCCCTGAAGCAGAGAGGGAGGCGGTAGCAGCAGAGAAGCAATGTCTAAGGAAGGCGCGCATAGCTGCAGAGCCCCCAGAGTTTCCTCGTCAGGCAGAAACCCCAAGCCTGCGCTCTCCACTACCAAACGGGCCACCCGCAGCACCAATGACTCCGTTGCTGCAATCGCACAACCTGCAGCAGCTTCTGCTTCCGTTGCTGCTGTTTCTGCTGCGGTTGCTGCTCCTCCTGCTGCTACACGGCGTACGGTGGGCAGCAGGAAGCAAGCTGGCTCGCACTGGAGAGCGGAAACGCAAGCAGCAAAAAGTCTGCGCATGAAGAGGATGCGACGTTGAAATTCTTGAGGGGGTAGGGTGCAGCAACCCCCTGAATCAAAGGCATTGAGCTGCTGCGACGCTGCAGCTGCTGCCACTGCTGCTTCTGCTCCTCCTTTTGTTGTTGCTGCTGCTGCTGTTTCTGCTGTTTCAGCCGCAACGGAATGCTGCTCGTGCCGGGCTTCGCGGCGACAGAGCTGCAGCAGCACAGAGGGATGCAGAAGAGAGGGCATGTGGGGTATGTTGGCTTGCAGCAAGGCAGCAAGAGAGTCCAGCACCAACAGCCCTAAGGCAGCCGGGGCACAGCGCAGCAACACCGAGATGGAGGGGGAGACCTCGCTGGCCATTGCGGCATTTATAGGAGTTGCGTTAAGCAGGAAAATCTTTTTTGCATGCTCCAACCGCAAGCTCAGGCCCTCGCCTCCTAAACTCGCTTTGATTGCAGCGTCGCTGTCCGCCCCTCTGTAAGAAACTTCCGCGCTGCATTGACTCCCCCCTGCTGTCTGCGGCCGCTGCGTCTGCCCATGTGGCTCTTGCTGCTGCTGCTGTTGCTGTCTCTGTTGTTGCTGCTCTTTTTGAGGGGCTTGAGCTGTGGTTTCTGCTGAGAGGGGGGAAGCAAATTCCTTGAGGCTGCTGCCGGTCTTCGCTTGGCTGTTGTCAGGGGTTAGGTGACAGGGAGTGGCCAGGCATGCGTCTTCTCCCGTCTCCATCGCGGGATGTTGTTGCCGTCTCTGCTGCTGCTGCTGTTGCTGTTGCTTGAGTTGCTCGAGCTGCAGCCGCTGTTGTTGCAGGCCTCCGTGAGCAGCAGCAGAGCCTGACAGTGGCGAGGCAGTGGTGCTGCTGCAGCAGGACATCAGCCCCTTCTTGGGCAGGAGCTGCGGCAGAGACTTTAGCGGTTCACTAAGGGGCTCAGCAGCAGCCATTGCTGCTGCTGCAGCATCAATGAGTGAAGAATCCGCCGCGCCAATCCGCAGCAACGCCTCGCGCCTGTAGGCACTGTCCCACACTAGACGGGCCCCAAGGAGCGCAGGGGAATCCTGCTTGTTGCTGGCCTTGCTGCTGCCGCTGGTGCTGCTGCTGCTGAGAGGCTGCTGGTTCGGAACCCTTCTAAGGAAGCGCAGCAGCAGCAGCAGCGCCGCGGCCAGGCGGTCAACCGAGGAATTTTTAGGGTCCGCAAGCAACAGCACCGGCATCAGCTGCAGCAGCAGCAGGTGCTGCACTACGAGAAGAAGTTCTGCTGCTGTCAGCCCCGCCGTCTGCAGCAAGGCCGCACAAGAGGCAGGGAGCGCAGCAGCCAGAAGCGGTTGCCGGTCACTGCTGTGATCTTGAGGGCTGGAAGCAGCAGCTGCAGCAGCCGGAGCTGCAGGACTGGCAAAGCGTGCTGCTTGTGCTGCGGCTTCTGCGTCACCAGAAGCAGACAGCAGCAACACAGCGACCGCCACATCTCGCCGCAGCAGCGCCTGCCACTCCACAACAGCAGCAGGGGTCCCCGCAATCTCCCAGCTGCCGGGCTGCAGCAGCAAATCTCTGGGTGCCCCCAAAGAGGGAGAGAAGACAGCAGCAATCAAAGCAGAACGACTGCTGCTCTCCCCAACTTCATTCAGCACTACCCACTCCCTCAGGGCCCCCGCCACGCGCCTTGCGCTCGCTGCTGCTGCTGCTTCTGCTGGTGCTTGTTGTGATCCACTTATACTGGCCGGGGCCTGCTGTTGCTGCTGCTGCTGGTTTTGCTGCTGCTGTTGTTGCATGTGGGGGTTTGCCGCAGCGTCTGCCGAGAGAGCAGCAGCATATAACTGCTTTGCACTGGCAGCCGCAGAGGCCACGGCGTCGCCAGCAGCCTCAAAGGCCGAAACAAAGAGAAACGACGGCGGACCCCAAGCGCTGCCTGCTGCTGCTGCCGCTGCTGCTGCAGCAGCAGCTGCCGCTGTTGGCTTGTCTGAACCTAAAAGCCTTAGAACAGAACGGGCCATTTGATATTGCGCAGAGCCGCTGTCGCTGCTGCTGCCTTGCAGACGGAAATTTTGCGAGGGGCGCAACCAGAATGCCGACGCTTGAGAAGGATTCACAGGAGGGGATGAGTTGGCTGCTGATGCCGCTGCTGTTGCTGGTATTGGTGCTGCTGGGGGAGGCACCAAATCTGCTGCAGTAGAAGGCTCCCAGCCCACAGGCCGCCCATGCTGTTGTGACGCATCCCCAGCAGCAGCAGCAGCTGCTGCTGCTGCACGAGCTGTAGCAGCTGTGCGAAGAAGACTGGGAAGCTGTTCGTTTGCTGCGCTGTTGACGGCAGCAGCAACGATTCGGCTGGCTAAGCGAGGCGCTTGCTGCTGCAGCAAGTCGGCAGCAGCTCCCTCCCCTAAGGAAGCTAAAAAGGGGCGTTCAGTGCAGCGGCTCAACGCACCGGCCGCCGCCGCCGCTGCTGCTGCTGCTGCCGCTGCTGCTGCATATTGTGGCAGTGTTGTTGCTGCTGCAGAAGACGTTGTTTCTTCATGCGGCACAGCGGCGGCTGTCCTCAGACGTTTCTGCATTGCCTGGTTTGCGTCTTCTAATGCTTCCCTCCTCTTCCCATCCTCCTTTGCAGCTCGGTCGGCCGTTGCTGCTGCTGCTTTGCTGTTGCGTAGCTCTGCAGCAAGCAGAGTCGCAGCAATGGTGGTCGCTGCGCCTCTCTCCCCTAATGCTCTGTAGGCGACGCCCCTTGCGGTGTCTATAAGCTGCTGCTGCTCTTCGGCTTCAATAGAAAGCAACCTTCCCAGCTGCTTCATCTGCTGCTGCTGCTGCAGCGCGAGCAACGGCTGCTTCTCCAGCAGCACCGACAGCAGCTGCTTCCGTCCACAAGCAGTGCGCAGCTGCTTCCGCAGCACAGATGGCTGCGCCAGCTGCAGCAAAACGCATGCTGCTTCTGCTGCGGCTGTCCTTGCTTCTGTTAAAGCTGCATCTGGTGCTGTTTCATCTGCTGCAGCTGCCGCTGCTGCTCGGTGTGGCTGGGGGGCCTCTGTGTCGGAGCTGCCTCTCCCTTCGCTGTCTGTGTCCCCACTGGACAGCAGAGCATTTAAAGCTGCACCTCTGGCGCGGCTGATGGCCGCCTCTGCAGCAGCAGCTGCTGCTGCTGCTGCAGTGGCAGCAGCAGCAGACGCCGCTCCCAATGCTGAAGGGAGCGCTCTCCGCTGCTGTTGCTGCTGCAGAAGATCATACAGCAACACTACGACGGCATGAAGAGTTGTCTCGTCTTCAATGTCTGTTTTAATCCGCTGCAGCAGCTGCTGCTGCGGTTGCTGGTGGAGATGCTGCATTTGCTGCTGCGCCTGCTGGTGCAGGGCTTGCATCGCTTCGTCGGCGACTGCTGCTGCTTGCTGCAGCAGAGCAGCAGCAAGAGCGACGTGGGGCCCCATCCGCTGCGGGGGTTTGTCTAATAGGGCCTTGGCGGTTTGCAGCAGCAAGCAGCAGCAGCTTTCAGCAAACTCCTTCCTAGTGCTGTCCCCAGCGAGCAACGCTGCCTGCTTCCACAAAGGCAGCAGCAGCAGTAGGGGGTGCTGCTGCTGCTGCTGCACTTCTGCTGTCTGCAGAGGAGGCAGCGAAGCCAGCAGCAACGCCAGCTGCATGTAAAACTCCGTGGGAGGCATTGCAACAGACAACTTGCGGTGTACATACACAGCACGGTCAAACAGAGTCGTCCACTCAGCAGCAACTTTCTCCCATCCCCGTGGCCTGCTGCTGCAGGCTGCCTGCTGCTGCCAAATGGATTCCTGCAGCAGAGGCAGGAGTAGCCGCTTTGCTGCTTCCTCGCTCAAAGCAGCAGCTCTCAACTCAAGAAAAGAAGCACGAAGCACAGCGCCCTTCCCTCCCCCCTGAAGCAGCTGCTGCGCTGCAGCAACAGCTTCTGTCTGGTGCAGCAGCAGTGACACGTCGCTCTGTAGCTGCTCGTCAGGCGGTGAGGCAACACCTGCAGCAGCAGCAGCTGCAGCTGCTGCAGCAGCAGCTGCAGTAGCTGCTGCTGGGAGGGTAGATGCCCAGCCGGCGTTCAACTGCTGCTGCTTCTGCTGCTCCTGCCCCTGCTCCTGCTTAAGCTGCTGCAGCGCCTCGCGCAAGACAGTCTTCACATACGCAGCAACCGCTGCACCCGGAAGACAGCTGTTCTTTCCATAGGCAGCAACCAGCGCTAGCCGCAGCAGCAGCGCTGCATGCGGCATGAGGCGGCTGTCTGGCGGCAGCTGAGGGCTGCTGCACTTTGTTGCCAGCAGCAGCAGCACCCATCGAAGCAGTCGCAGAGCTGTTGCCTCTGTCAGCCCAGAAGCTGCATCTGCTAGCCCCTCCTCATGACTCGCTGTTGCTGCTGCTCCTGCTGCTGCCTCTACTGCCGCGGCAGCGGAACAGCGAGAGGCCCGCAGTGCTGCTGCAGCAGTCAGGGGGTCTGCTGTTTCTGCTGTTAGACACAAGGACAGCTCCACCAGCAAACCCCGACTAAAGCAATTGTCCACAGCGCGTAGCAACGGCGTCAGGTCTTCGTGCTCACGGGCTGTCGTTCTCGCTACAGGAGCAGCAGCAGCTGCTGCTGCTTTTTGGTCTTCTTCCGGCGGTGCAAAGTATTCAAGGGCTGCAAAGGGTTCCACGAGGGTGGCCACTGCTGCAGCTGCAAATGAGCTTATCCTGCTACTGCTACCGTAGCTGCTCCCAGACTCGGTAGTAGCAGCACGACCTTCTGCTGCAGTTGCTGCTGCTGATCCTGGTTGCTGTTGCAGCTGCGCAGCAACAAGGTGCAGCAGCAGCAGCAGCAGCCGCGAACTATCGGCGAGCCTGACAAAGCTAAAGAAGTCTTCTGTAGCATTCTCTAGCAGCACGGCCTTCTGCTGCAGTTGCTGCTGCCGCCTCTGCGCAGCAGCAGCTGGCCTCCTCAATACTGCAGAAGGGCTGGCAGGAGCAGGATGTTCCTGCTGCTGCTGCACCTGCCGGCAACGCACGTGCAGCAGCTGCAACAGCAAGAACTGCCGCAGCAATCCATGCAACGCATACAGCCGACGGATACCGCTGCATCCATTCATAAGCCCACTGCAGCCCTGCCGCTGCTGCAGCACAAGAGTCTGCTGCTGCCGCAGCAAGCCTTTGTCTATGCCCCAAGGCGCCTCCATTCCTCCAACTGTTGTTGCTGCTGCTGCAGGCAAAGCGGAAGAAGTTTCCGTTGCAGCAGGAGCAGCAGCAGTTGCTGCTGCTCCTGTTGGACTGGGGCTGGTCACCTGTGACGCAGGTGCTGCCTGGGAAGAGGTCAGCGGCCTGTGGCCCGCTGCTAATACAGCTGCTGAGAGACTCGCCCCAGCAGCAGCAGCAGCAGCTCTCTCCTGCTGCTGTTTCTGCTGCTGTAGCAACAGCTCCTGCTGCTGATGGAGCTGATGCAGCTGAGTCTGGTCGAGGCGTGAAAGAGCGAGTGCCTCCCTTGCCTGCTCCTGCTGCTGCAAGGCAGCGGCAGCAGCACCAGCAAGGCCAGCAGGAGGCGGCTGCTGCAGCAGCAGCAGCAGCACAGTAGTGACAAGAGGCAGCGCGCAGTGCTGCAGCAGCCCCGGGCCTCTCATAACAAGCAGACAGCGCTCCACTGCCCACAATGCAATATCATCAGCCGTCGCTTCCAGCCCGCCGCTGCTGATACTGCTGCTGCTGCCAAACGAGTTGACTGGGTGTGGCAGCAAGTGAAGCATTCTTTCGGGTGGTAGCGCCTCAGGGAATGCGCTGAGGACCGACGTCCAGTGGGGGCGCAGCTCGTGGGGGTGCTGCTGCAGCAGCAACTGGACAGCCAGAGTCTGCGCGTGGGCGGCAAAAGTATGAACCAACTGCAGCACGAAAGGCTGCTGCTTTGTGTCTGTCTCCTCATCACAAGGGCTCCTCAGCAGCGCAGCAAGAGCCTGCTGCAGCTGCTGCAACAACAGCTCACCAACTTTACTCGAAACTTCAGCAGGATCAGCACCAGCTGGGGGGTCTTGCTGCTGCTTCTGCCGTTGCCTCTCCTTCTCCTTCTGCTTCTGCTTCAGTGATGAACATGGAAGCCCTCTCTCCCCTGCTGCTGTTGTTGCTGCTGCCGCTGTCGATCCCAAACTCGTGGGGTCGCTGGAAAGGCCTCCGACGTCCATGAGGCGCGCTGCTGCCTCTGAGAGGGCTAACAAGACGTCGCATCGTTGCAGTCTCTCAGCTGCAGCAGCCTGCGGCAGCAGCAGAGACACAGAAAGCAACACGAATGAGTTGAGGGGAGAAGCAGCAGTTGCTGAACCAGCAGCAGCTACAGCAGCTACAGAACCTGGTGCCACTGCAAGCAGCTGATAGTAATAGAAGCTACGATCGCAGAGAGGAGCGCGGTTGGATCACCTGGGCAGGAGGCGCGTCGCTCTCCGCCCGCTGCTGCTGGTGTTGCTGCTGCTGCAAGGCGCGCTGCAGCAGCATGCGGAGGCGACGCAGAGGAAGATGATGAGGCGTCCAGGCACCTGCTAAGACTGCTGCGACGTCGGCAGCTGGGGGAGAGCAGCCCGCTGCTGCTGCTGCTACTGGTTCATACTCCAGCGCCTGCTGCAGGAGCCACTGAGAAATGCTGCTGCCCTGCTCTGCTCCTACGGAGGCTTCTGCTGCTTCAGCAACACGCAGGGCCGCCTGCAGCGCATCAGAAACAGAAGGTGCAGGAGGCAGGACTCAGCAGGCACATGCTGGGCTGTACGGGAAAACAGGTGGTAAACAGTAAATCAACACTCTGTGCTGCTGTTGCTGCTGCTGCACCTGCTGCTGCCAGAGCAGCAGCACGAGCAGCAGCAGCAAACAGCAATTGGACCTCACAGCCAGAGGATGGCTGAGGCGGAGCCTCAGCAAGAGGCCGCCGCAGGTTGCTGCCGACGAAACAGACAGAAGACAGGAACAGAAGATATAAATCACATATATACATATATGTTTTGTACATAAATAAAAATATATGCTATATAGATCTACAGGCGGAAAGGGGGCAGCAGACGTAAGGTGGTCGACGGGAGACAGAAAACACATGAAATAGAAACGATGACAAAAGACAGAGCACAACAGAAAGGCATAAAGGCATAAAGACAAATACGTCTGCGACGGAGAAAGACAAACATCACACACGCCTTCGGCTTTATGCATTTATGTATATTTATTTATGTACAAACAAATATACATATATGCCTAAAGACAAATACGTCTGCGACACAGGAAGACAAGCATCTCCTGATGGGACACAGAAAGGAGACATCAATAGAGACAAAGAGAGAAAGAAATAAAACGCAGAAGAAGACAAGCAACACCAGAAACACGAGGGAGGCAACGAGAGGCAAGCACGCGAGGACCAAAGCAAACAAAGCAGAGAAAAAAAAGGCAGAACAAACAAACACAAGAGATGGCAAACACGGGGAGCAGCAGATAGGAAGAGATAATCGCAAACGGAAGAAAATAAACAAAACATCAAACAAACAAAAACGCAGAAATACAAACAACTGCCAGCATGTCTCACAACAACAAGGAACAGCGCCGCTCAAGCTTCAAATGTTGCAGTCCGCAGCAGCAAGAAACAGCAGCAGCAGGAGCAGCGGCAAAACCGGGAAAAGCAGCAGCAACGGCAGCAATAGCAGCAGCAGCAACAGCAACAAAATCAGCGCCAGCAGCAAACACAGCAGCAGCGCTTCCTTTAGTGGCTATGGGGCTTGTTACCTGGAAGTCGTCATCGGAGGCAGTGGGCTGCTTGCCCTTTTGCTGCCACCTTTGCTGCTGGAGCAGCCGAAGAGCCTCTTCGAGGCGCTGCACCTCCTCCTGTGACCTCATAAGTACAACTCCATTCATCTCCCCCTCTCCTGCTGCTGCTGCTGCTTCGTAGGCGCGCCGAGCCAGACTCAGAGACCGCTGCAGCAGCACCTCCGCCTCTTCCCAACGCCCCTCAGAAGCAGCGGCAGCAGCAAATGAAACGACATCTGCGCACTGCAAAGATGAAAGGGACAACCGGAACGCCTCCCGTTGGTGCTGCTGCTGCTCCTGTTTCCTGGTGCTGCTGTTGCCGTGGCCCCCCGTGCCCTCAACAGTGAGCAGCAGCAAAGTCTCCTCGTGCTGCTGCAGCACACCGCTGCTTCCCTCTCCCATAGGCTGGATATCTCCTAGAGGATGCAAGAGGGCAAGAGGGAACGCTGGAGGGCCCCTACAGCCGTCTATCATTGCCCAACATTGACTGCTGCTGCAGCTGCTGCTGCAGCTCTTTCGAGCAAGCTCTGAGACCGGCTGCTGCTTCTGCTGCGGCGAAGGTGACATCAGCAGACTGTTCCTGTCTAAGTCAAAAGCCACGCATAACCAACCCCCTCGAGACAAGGCCTCAGGGGTCTCCCCGTCAGGTGAAGCTGCGGCCGCCGTTGCATTCCCGTCCTGCTCCTGCTGCTGCTGCTGTTGCTGTTGGGATGCCAGGGGAACCTGGTCACTAAAGAACAGCAGCAGCAGCTCGCTGGCCTCTCCAGCAAAGAAAGAAGCAGCAAGAGGCAAAGGAGGAGAGGACCGCTCAACCTGCAGCAGCGCCACTTGCTCCTCCAGCAATTCAAACTCCTCGCCGTGCATCGATTGCTGCTGCTGTTGTTGCTGCTGCTGCTTTTGCTGATGCTGCTCGGGATGAGTGCGGTTCCGAAGCTCCCCGGTTTGTTCAGCGACTTGGTGCTGCGGAAACTCCGCAGCAGCGGCGGAGTGAGAGGGTTGCTGCTGAGGTGGATCAGCAGCTTGGGATCGGATGTGCCACATAAAGGGGGCGGGGAGGAAAGCCAGGGGTTCATAATATGCAGCATTGCTGTTGCTGCTGTTGCTGCTGCCTGGCTGTTCATCACGGGTGAGGCGCAGCAGCAGCAGCTCGTCGGAGGACAGAGACAGCGCAAGCAGGCCGCCACAGCTGCTAATTGCTACGTGCTGCAGCTGCTGTTGCTGCTGTTGTCTGCTGTCTTCCGAAGACACAGTGAGGTGGTCACGCAGGTTGGCCAGCAGCTGCTGGCGTCTTTTTGTTGCAGCTGCCACTGCTTCGGTGTCCTGCTGCTGCTGCTGAGAAGCTGCTGTAGCAGCAGCATTGGTTGGTGCGCATCCTTTTGTAGGTTCGTCTTTCCTTCCCAGCCATCTCTCCGTCTCTTCTGCCAATTCACGAGCCCTAAAGAAGACTGGCCCGTAGAAAGACGCAGGGTATTCAGCCCTACGCCACAGCGGCAAGCTCTCTGCTCCTTTCTGCTGCTGCTGTTGCTGCTGGAGATGAGCATCCATGGCTTCCAGGGCGTTTCTGGCGGCGAGGGACCGCAGCAGATCGAGGGAGGGCAGAACGGCAGCAACAGGACGGGGGCCTTCTGAAGCAGCAGCGCGTCTTGCTGCTGATGGAAGCAGCAGTTGTTCATTTGCTGCAGCATTTGGTGCTGCCTGCTGTTCTTCTTCTGAGTAATCGCTGTCTTCTTCTGCTTCCCTCTCCATCTTCATTGCATGCAGCGGCACCCAGCAGGTCCAGGCGCACTGCTCATCTGCACAAAACCCCACAACTACTGCCACCGGCAAACTGGGGTGTACAGACACCGCAGATGGGGGGAAGGGAGTCGTCGGCAGCCATGCGGAAGAGAAGTCGCGGGCCAGCAGCTTCACTGCAGCAACAGGTTGGCAGCCGCTTGTTGCTGCTGTTGCTACTGCTACAGTTTGCTCAACAACGCCCTCTTCCTGCCGTTGCTGCTGCTGCTGCTGCTTGTGTTGCTGCAGAGCTTCTTGCTGCTGGGCCGCTATTGCCTCTGAGTGCAGCAGCATGAGAGCCCCGAACTTCGTTTGTAGGCAAAAACACAAAAAGAGAACACCCCACGCACTGTCTCCTACCCACTGCAGCACAACATCATCTCGTGGAAGCAGCAAACGCCGCAGGGGCACTAAGGGCTGCGGCGTCAGCTGAATCTTCTTGCTGCTGCTGCAGCTGCTGCTAGGAGCTGTGGGTACTTGCAGCGGAGGCAGCAGCAGCAACTCGGTACGTGGAGGCTTAGTGTCGTACGTCACTGCCAGTACTGAAAATCTCTCCACCAAGCTGCATGACAACAAGGTGTCTTCAGCAGTGTATACATACAGCGCAGCTGCTCCTTCTGTTGCTGTCGTTGGTGCTGCTGTTTCTGCTGCAGTTGCTGCTGCAGGAGCGGCTGCAGCAGCGTTCGCTGCTTTCGAGTTGGGCCACAGCAGCCAGAAAAACACCTGCCGTCCCTCCCATGAAATGACAGAGACGCATTTCTCTCCTCTCTCTGTTTGCACTCTGCCTGTTGCTTTCCAGGAGGAACAGATTTGCTGGGCTGTGGGTACTCCACAGATCGGCAACTCAAAGCCCAAGCGGTCAACAAAAAATGAATTGTATTGCTGCTGCTGCTGCTGCTGCTGTTGCGGCCGCAGCAAGCGCCGCAGGAGGCCAGACAGAAGAGACACGCCCCCCGCTTCAGACGGCGGAGGCGCAGCTGCTGCCATGGAGGCGTCGGCCGGCTCAGCAGCAGTGGCTGCAGCCACTACCGCGCCGCCATCATCTCCGCCCTTTCCTAAAGGCTGCTGCTGCTCCTGCTCCTGCTCCTGCTCCTGCTGCTGATCTGTATTGTCTGGCGGTGGAAGGGGAGGGAGGAAAAAGGGGACGTCGAGGATGCGGCGGAGTTCGAGGCAGCCGATGGAGGGGAAGGCGAGAGGCGGCAACTCTTCAGGCACCTCCGAAGAGGACGGTGCTTCTTCTACATGCACCATTGTGCATCAATGGGGTGCATCAGATGCATCAATAAGGTGCAGAAGAAGCATCAATAAAGAGCAGCAGACGCATCGATGACGTGCAGAAGATGCACCTATTAGGTGCAGCAGGTGCTTTAGTGAGGTGCGGCAGATTCGTTGTAAACAGATTGCTCGCTTTGGGGTTTTCTGCTTCGCGGCTAGTATGGAGAGGAACCCCAGGGCAGGGGAGGGGCCCCCCTAGCTCCTCTTGCTGCTCCTGATCCAGCTGCTGCTGCTGCTCCTGCAGCTGTCGTTAAACGTCCCAAGCATTTGGTTATCCGTAGTCTCCTGCTGCCCCCAGAGCAGTTTTATATTGCAAGACAACGGCAAGAAGGGAAAGGCGGCGGCGCGGCTTCCTTCTACAGAGGCCTTGCACAGGTCGAAGTGGCCTTTGAGGGCAGCCGCGCGCCTCAATGCTGCAACAGATTCAAATTGTGGTTTCGCCTTAATTGTTTTTGTCTGATATTTGAAGGCGAGGGAAATAAATGCGCACCTTTGCTTTGAAAGAGGCGTGGGGCTGCGGAACGCCAGCGGGGCCCCTAACCAAGCGCGTGTTGCCTGCTGCAAGGCCTAACGAGTCGAAGCTCTTGAGGCATTAAGCACGCGAAGAAGACTGCAAAAATGTATTTTATCAAAGCAACAAACAGAAACGATGGGGGTTGGAGGGGCAAACAGCAGCACCTAGGAGGGCAGGAGCCGCAGCCGAACGGGCGCGTCTCGCTCGGGCCCAAACGCCGAGTTAAGCCACAGAGGTGCAAGATGAGAAGAAGTTAATTTGTCAAAATGTAATAAATAGTGTTATTACTTATCTTGACGCTTTTTTCTCACAGGTGGTGCCGCTGCTTCCCTCTTCTGGGCAGCTCACCTGCAAGTTGCACCCCTGACGGAATATCGTATCGTCGGTCGGCTGCTTGAACGATATTCTTCTCGCCTAAAATACTGGCATTTCATCTCTCCATCTTTATTGACAGAGTCTTCTTGTCTTTGTATCCTTTGATCTCCCAAAACACCGCGGTGTTTCATTGTAGTTTCCTGCGTTTAGGCGGTACGTGCAGTTCTGGCGGACAGTCGTCGCCGCCCTAAAGGCGAGGCGTTCCTCTTTGTTTATTTTCTACCTTGTTCTCAGACAGATTCAGATAATATTTTAAGTAGTGGTCAGGAGATAACGCGAAAATGATGGCAGCGAAGCCATTGGCGGGGGCTTTATTGCTTTCTGCGTGGCTGCTCGCTCACGCGATCTTCATAGTTAATGCCAACAATTTGTTGCAAAATAGCAGAGGGCAAATTGTAGACATTCAGCAGTTTATTCCAATACGATTACGTAAGTTACAAGTGAAGATTTCACCTTTCAAATGCTTCCCTTATTCAGCTTTCGCCAACGGTTTCTTGAACCGCCTGGGCATCCTGTCATCAACAACCGAACAGCAAACTTAACATGTCAAAATTTTCCGGAACATTTTGGCAATCTTAGGCATTTCAGAACATTTCAACATTATGCTCATTTTCTCTAGCCCATTCCGCTCGATTTTAGCTGCGCATCTGCTGTTTGCGCGTTGATGGTGTGTTTTGCAGCTTCTGTACTTCAACTTTCTTGGTTTCACAACCTTGTAAAGCACGCGTTTGTAGCAGACAAGTTGGCTTTTCCCTACGGAACCTGCGGAGTGAATGACTGCTTGTTGTATTTGTCGTGGATTGTCTCAGCTCTCACTCTGGCTGAGTGGATAGCCTGCACGTGCGTCGTTTTGCTGAAACTGCTGACAAATAACGCCTTAAATCTGAGACGATCCAACTTTATTTAAATAGTCGCTTCTTCTTGATCATTGTATTTAGCGACACTCGATACAGCCGCTCCCATTCAGTGTCCTTCCCATAGCGCGCTTCCCCCTCAACTTCCATGAGAAGCTGTAAACGAGGGGCCGCAACAGCTGAGAGGCTTTTGCGATCTTTTTGGTGTTTTTAGATGAGTGAAAATGCCATGTTTAGTGGAACTGGAGCCAGTGATACTAACTGTTGAAAAGGAATATAGAAGAGCATATTGTGTTTAGTATCTGTGCAACGCTTCAGGATGTTGTTTCTGAGTGCTGTTTGGGCCAAGTTAATTCGTCCTGTCATTTCAACAATATTCTACGTCGTTTTGGGTGCCGGCCTTTATGGCTGTGCTCGTTGCTGCGCTTTCACGTTGGCGTGAGTTTTTATTTCTTCTGCGATATTTACTTACAGCTCTCCGCTCCGCTTCCCCATCAAGCAAAGAAACTGCATTCCTTGTTCTGTGTATTGATTTGCAGGCCGTATCTGCCTGAAGAAGTGGCTGTTTCTGTTGTTCGCGTGTTGGTGGCAGTCGACGGCGCCCTGCTGTCCATCTGGGGTTCGTTGGGGGCGTTCAGCTCATGGCTGTTGTGGGCCCTGGACGGCGTCCTCAGCTCGCTCGTCTGGCCTTCATTAGAGGACTTAAAAAGTGCCGTTGCACACCCCAACCATAGATCTTTGCTGAACGATATCCTCGTCAAAGTGAAGGACATGGCCCACCATTTGCCTGAAGCTCCTCCTCATCCTGAGTTCTAGAGCCACTAAAAGAAACCAAAAGAGCAGCTTACTAAATAATGGCTAGCAAATAGAGCGAATATGAAAATGCGAAGGCCCTAATGGCATTCAGTAGATCCTAAAGCAGGCGGTGAAACTTCATGAATCCACAGTCTGTCTTTTTACTGCACAATACCCAACAGCGCATATGAGGTGGCTGCACCTCCACTTTCTTTATTTGTTGAGCCTGCTGTGGTTTCCAAGCGGTCATTTGGCAAATTTTGCTATGGTCGTTTTATAAGGAAAACCCAACACATGAAAATACACTTTTGAGTCTTCTCTACAGACGGGATATCCGCTGCTAATTACTTCACTCTTGACACTTGCCTAAAATGGATGCAGTTTAGAGCGAGACGAATTCATACTACTTGTTTGTTATATGTTTCATTACACCTACCGTGGAAGTGGCTTCACGATAACAGTTCTGCACGGCTAGGCAAGCACCAGTGGCGCAATGGATAGCGCGTAGCCCTCCTAAGGCTAAGGTTGTGGGTTCGAGTCCCATCTGGTGTGCTTTAAAATTCGCAAGTGCCTCTTAAAAGTGTCACTCCGATTACTTTTACCATTCTTCAGGTTTGCATATTCAAGAAAAAACACAAAGTTGCTACCTGATCAAAATAAAAGGCGTTAACACAATGGCGGAAGTCACCTTCTTCGAGCACCAGTGGCGCAATGGATAGCGCGTAGCCCTCCTAAGGCTAAGGTTGTGGGTTCGAGTCCCATCTGGTGTGCTCTTTTATTATCTGGTATTTTGTTTGTTTTGCAAATATTGTTTCTCCTGCGTAATTACGGGTTTTTGGTATTTGTTTATTCTGTGTTGTTGCCTAGTATATGCATTTCTAGGTGCTATGCGTACTGAGCTCTTTCTGCAGCTACACAGGAAGTAGATCAGCCGAAGCGAACTGCCAGCATCACTGGGTGTGATTATTACTTAGTGTTTCACTATATTATTTTGTTTGTTTAGTGCCTTCAATATATTATTAGTATTTTTGCAGGTGTAAAAACAGCAAAAGTGTTCAGGCCCCCATCTGGCTGCGCACGACCCCCCTAGCGCAGTACTTGCATGCAACTGAACAAAACCGAATTCTAGAACCTTTACTTTACCCGTTTTTGTACCTAAAGACAAATAATACATAAAAGGATTTTTTTTCTGTTTAGGCGAAAGTATTGCGTTTACGTTAATTCTGTCTCAGTCGGCAGACTTCTCGTTTTGCAAGCCATGCAGGCTTCTTCCCGTTTTCAAGTTCTTGTTTGAGTGCGTTGGCAGCACAAATGAGGCTTCTTTTTGCTTCTCTCGTTCCCCTTATTTCTCTTTTTTAGCCCAAAGGGCAAACAAGACAACGAACGATACAAAGAAATGCCGCCTGTGCGCTTCAAGGCGCCGCAGCAAGTGCGGATTAAATGCCCTAAAGGCCGCATAGTACCCCTCGATGAACCCGATGTAAAAATCGGCAAAACTATCGTAGCCGCTGCTCCCCACAGAATTACAGCGGAGCAACTGGAGCAGGCCAGAAGGACTTTGAGGAGGTACAGCAGCAGATGATATATATATATATATATATATATATATGCGCAGTTTCTACTGTTGTACAAAGTAGAACAGCTTTTCCAGGTTGCTCTTTCATCTTACGGTGACGTCCGTTTAGTTTTGCAGTATCTTGCTAGCCAATGTGAAGCAAAGCGAAAACGCAAAGCGCACGTGGTGTATGCACAGTGGGATATCAAATATCACTCGCTGAATGCACGAGGGAGTGTATGCATCTGTGTTTAAGGTGTTGATGTTATGTTGAAGAGCGGTGCATGCACTTGTGTGTCTCAGATGTTTAGTTTTCAATGAAGAGGTGTATGCGCCTGTTCTTCAGGTATTTAGGCCGTTCTAAAGAAGTGCATGCAACTGTGCATGCAACATATCCCGTCACTAGAAAGGCAGAGGGAGTGAAGATGGGCCAAGGCAAAGGCGCCATACATCACTTTGTCGCGCGCGTACCGGCAGGTAGAAAAGCAGTATAAATATAGAATTAGTAGTAGTATTCATCAGTTATAAGAAGTACCATTGTTATGTTTTATTGTTATTATTTATTAAGCCGGGCGTTCATTTGCCTCTCTACACCTGACTTGTCCGTTCGCAAGTCTGTAGAGATTTCATGGAGAAAGATTTCGAGGGATGTGTGCGAATTTGCGGCGTATGCTCATCAGTTTTTTTTTTGTCTGTTTGTTTCAGGGCGAGTTTTGTTTCATATTCCGCAGGTTAATCCCTTCCATGCCTTTTTGCCTCAAGCCCCCAACTACCGCGCATTTAAGGCGATCGCTGGGAAGCTGCCTTTTCCTGTGGTATTTCGAGAGCAAAATAATTATTTTCCTCTTGATAGTGTACAGCGACTTATTGAAATTAAACGTAAAATGGACGCGGAGGCGCACGAAAATAACGTGAAAAATAAACTACTTGAATCCATCACAGGCAATACCTGCAGCTGAGGTGTATTATAAACACGCCCTTCCGCGTATTTAAAAAGAGAGTAAAACCTTTTTTTGAAAGGAAAGCTCCTAATTGCTGTTCTCTTGAACTCAATGCGTGCGGAACGCGCCTGTTCTAGAGAGAGGTGCAGTGACACCTGAAACTGTTTTTCGTATGAAAACAACATCTATTTTTTTCGAAAAGCTGATACAAAATAGACAGTAATTGCAAAGAAAGTATATCTTAAAAGACACCTGCAAAGTAATGCTGCCAAAATAGCGAAAGAACGAAACAAGCGCGGTGTTTCGCCTCATTGTGTTTGTATACAAATGTATGTATGGAAATAGAAAATTATATATATATATATATATATATAATATAACGCGGGTATATAGAGAGTTGACTGTTGCTTGTCTATAAGGCATATTTGCCTAGATATCTAAGTTTGTGTTTTTTGTCGTTTCCCTTCTGCTTCCCTTGCGGCGTTTTTTTGTTGAAGTTGGCTCTCTGTCTTTTCGTTCTGTTCTTGGGGTTTTTGTAGCATTCGTTTCTCTAAAGGAGGCTGCCGCTGCATGCAGCACTCTGTCAGTCTGGCTAGCGGAGTATTCACAGCTGGGAGAGCACAAGGAGGAGGTAAGACTTCAACATGAGACTGAAAATATGCCTTCCAGGCTTCTGGAGATATCGAGGCCCGCGTGCGATGCACCTGTTGATACACCTCATGCAGTTCGTCTTCGTCATCTGAAGACGCGCTGCTGCTGCTGCTGCTACTGCTGCTGCTGCTGCTGCTCACGTCCGTACCAAAGCCACTCGATGCGCGCACCCGACAGAACTTCCCGCAACGCACCTCCCAGCCGTCCACTCTAAGCAAAAGAAAAAAACAAAAACTCCAGCTTGCATGCATTCAAAAAGCTACGATTTGCTCGTCTATTTGTCTACTTGTGTGCTTCGGCTTGGCTGCAAGCCCTGCTGGTCTGTTTGTTTAGCTCTTATTCCGTATGTTCGTTTGTTTGTTTGTGTATCTGTTTGTCTCTGCCTGGTTGTCTGTACGTCAGTCTCTGTTTGTTAGTTAGCTTATCTGTCTATCTGTTGTTTACGTACATCTCTGCCTGTACGCCTTTGTGTGTGCGCTTATTAGTGTTGTTTATTATGAATAAAGAATAAACATATTGATTTACTGCATAGTTAATTGTAGAATTGCCTTACTTGTTCGCCAGATCGAGCCTTTGATATATTTCTTTCTCTGGGAAATACTGCTTCAATCTGCTGAACCACAAGGCTGCGAGTCTCCTTCTTCCTTTTCTTAGTTTCCTCCAGGCTGTATCTAAGAAACCAAAAGATAAATGATTTTGCGTGCATGCTACGCAATCCGACAGATTCAGCACCGCATGCCACCAATTAGGGGGCACGTATATTATCTCCCCTGGTCGTTGCACGCACTGCATGCAGCAAACAAATCAAAACACAATATAAAACAAAGGCATACATTCATGCATGCATGCATGCATGCAGGTATAGTGCAGCCTGCTTCACGTTCTCGGTGGTCTGGTGGTAGCTGTGGTGAAGGAAATGAAAGGGGTAGTTGAAATATTTTGGTGACTGTGTAAAAGCCCTAAACCCTAAATGCCGGAAACCCTAAACCCTAAAAGCCGGAAACTCCAAACCCTAAGTCGTCTAAATGTTCCTTGATCTAAGAAAACTCGCTGAAGAAAGAAAGGGCGCGAAGTTTTCATTCTTCTCGTTTCATGAGGTAATTCAACTCCAACAGCAATAAAACCAGCAAGTGAATATATAAAATGCATAGTATATTTCTATGCATATTCGCTAACTATATATATGAATTTCATTAGTTATTTTAAGCCTCTCACCTCATACACCGGGATGTCCGGGTACTGTTGTTTGATGCGAGGGAGAATGTTGTGAAACCACATGATTGGCTCATCGTCTTCTCCTGGTTTTATGAGATGCTTGCCCTTTACAATTTGTTTGGAAGTGTTAGGGGGGAACAAAGCCCACCTAAAGCGAAACCAACAGAAAACAGTTTAAATAACAGTCTAAATAGACCCCCATCGAGTGTGTGTACATGTGCAAAGAATGCCGCTGCAGGCGTGCATAATTAAAAGCTAATCCATCATTTTCTTCCTCCTGAACTTCGTCTCTGACATAAATCAATCACTCTATACGAGAAAGCGCGAAAAGAAGAGAGAAAGGAAAGAAATGCAAACTTAGATTCGTAATACTCAGCTTACCGCTTATACCCCGAGGTAACTGCATTCCAAGCAGCAGTACCAAGAGGGTCGATGTGTACTGTCGTTCCGCTGCGTTTAGGCCCGATGCAGAACCAGCGGTAGCTGCATAAATACAATGAACAGCAGCAGCAAACTTCCTTCCTGAAGTATGTGCGTATAGCTGAGCTGTTGAGGTGTACCTATCTATGTTCAAAGGCTACTCGCACGTTCTCTCGCTTCTTCTCTTTCGCTAGCGGTAACTCAGACGACACACAAAAGCTAGTTCCTTTCTAGCTGCTGCAACTCTTTCTTTCTCCAGAAGAAATAAAGAAAACGGAAATTGCAGATGCAGCAGCAGAAGAAAGAATTGCAGCAGATGAAGAAGAAGGGGCTTGGATATATCTCTCAACTCACGGAGGCCTTCTCTCTTCACCTACGATCGCGTGCAGATCAACGGGGAAGACGTCCGGCACCGTCCAGTCATTCAATAGACCGCTGCGTGCAAAAAACAAAAACTAAAATAAAATAAAGGCTTTCCTCTAGCACCAGCTTTAGAGGAATTTGTTTACGTCGGTGTCAGTGCTACTGATTTATTCAGTAGGTACGGAGTTAAAAAGGAGCGGAAGATAATGCAAGCAAACGATTCTTTCCGTAGACTCACCAAGTGTCTGCTTTGTCTTCTACAGCAGATTCAAACAAATAAAGTGGCGAGTCGTCATTTTGGTGTTTCAAATAATCAATGAAATACTTCTGCAGCAGCAAACAATGAACAAACGAACAAACATGCAGCAGCGAAACCAGCCGAAACTCTAAACCCTAGACCCCAAAATCCTGAGCTATGAAGTAGCAGCCCAAGCTCCTAACCCCAAACCCGAAACTCCTCCCTGAATTGCTTGGGCGCACCATCTTGAGGCGTATTTTATCTCCGTTATCTTTTTCTCCCACTTTGAATTTTGCAGTTCGGTAATTACGGCGAAGATTTTCAATCGTCCATTTCTCTTTCGCGGGCCACTCATCCATCCACCCGCACAGCAGCACCGGTTTCCCTGGCACTTCAAAGTTCCGAATGAAGTCTACACAGAAAAGAAAACAAATAAATAAATGAACTAAAAGCAGACGATGAAGACGCACGCGGTGGAGGAGAGACAAATGGACTCAGTGCATGCAAAAAACAATCATCAAATTCCACAAAGAATTACTCGCGGGCGTACATACACTACACACACGCTGAAGGGTTGAGAAAAAATGCAGGAAGCTGCCACTTTAAGTGTCAGTGCTGTCTTGTATTCAGAAGAGAAAGTGTTTGAACAGATGAAGTCTTTTACTAAAGTTTGATGGAAACAATATATAAATGATAATGCAAAAAATCTTCCACATTGCCTACCGATAAGAGACGTGTCTTTCTTGTGAATGCGAGGCAAGTTCTCCTTAATGTGCATCGACTCCTCACAGAAATTCGACTCTGCGTATCTGAACTTGCTCCATTCACTCCAGTGCAGATCGCCCCTGAGCAGCAGCAGCAGTAGCAGCATTAGCAGCACGGGCTTGGTGAAAAGCCAAGAGTGGTGAGATACTCGGCCAGTAGCAGGAGGTATGATGAAGTGTTGATGAAAGAAAAAAAGATATAGAATCCATTCAAACCCACCGGTGCTGCTTCTTCGCCCTGCGTATCCTATCGCGCGTTTTATGATGCTGATAAGTCGGTTCAGGCAACGGCTGCGGAGTGGAAGCTGCTTGCTGCTGCCTCTGGGAAGAGCGTTCTTGCGCATCTGCTGATGCTGCTGCTGCAGGTGCTGGTGCTGCTACTGATGCTGCTGCAGTGTCTTGAGTGTCCGTTGATGGATTTGCAGACATTTTTGCAACCGAAGCATCACCAACTTTCCGCTGAGACTGAGTTGAGGGGCGAAGGATGGCCGTCTGTCTTTCGCCCTCACACGGCATTTTATTTCCGCAGGCGTTAAACTTAAGTGCATTCAATTTAAACAAAATGCATCAATTGCACCAAATGTATGCAATTAAAAAACGAAGAGATGAAATGTACCCACCAGGAATTCGGTAGGCAATGCTTGCATTTGAATCTAAAGACTTTATTCAGATAGAAATAAAGCGTCCAACCCGTGCAGCTTTCGAATTATTGAGGGTAATAATAACTGAAGTGCGTGCAATTCAAAATGATGTGCACGATATTCAATCCAGCGCATGCGCAGTCGAAGTCATATGCATATACCGCCGACAATACGGAGAGAAATACATCATGCGATTCAAAAGAAGATTCATACAAGAATGCACCCTTTGGCTCGCAGGGCCATTTAGAATAGCAAGAACTTCTCCCCTTAGTTGAGCAAATGCTTCGTCTCTTGCAGCAAGGTTATCAATAAACGCGCACTGTAAACAAAAAAATTCAGTGTCGGCCTCCTCCACAAATCTATCAAACCCCGTGTAACTTAGTGGAAATGCAAACAAGCACTTCGTCTTCCGCCCGTTCGTCTGCAGCAGAACGCATTACTGCCTGCTGAAGTCGAGAGGAGGCCTCGAGTTGCGCGTCAGCTGCAAGAAAACCGAAAAAAGGTAGAGCGGAAGTAAAAGAAAAGGCCACCAACGCTACCGCTGCACCACTGAAGCAGCTTTTGTTGTTCTTCTTCTTCACAGAAGGTGCTTTGATGCAAGTGCGTTGGTGGCTGGGGGGCCCCGGTTGATGAGGGGTTGTTGCTGCGAGAAGACGGGCACAGGAAGGGGAAAGGGGGATAAAATGAAAGTCCCAAGATGAGGGAAAGACTGAGGCGTTTATTGCCGCTGCAATTTCAATAAAACTGGAAAGAGAAGTGTTTAAAGCAAGAAGGCAGATGAGGGGATCTCAGTGAAAAGGCAGCGCGCGTCCTTAGTCAAATCAATGCATAGCAGACAGCTTAGCACTGCATCTAACGAACATAGAGATATTGCAACGGCGTTATTTACTATGTTTTCATCCTCTTAAACAATTTTTGCCCTGCAGCTGCCTACAGACTCATCCGGGGCGTCCTAGCAAATGGTTCAGCCGCCGGTCGAGAGCCCCGTAGCGCGGGGCTGGACTTCAAGAGCACGAGTTCTCTGTACTACCGACTAGCGTGTCTGTTGTCTGAAAATATGAATAATATTCAAAAGAAATGATTATTCTAAATGCTTTGGCAACTATTCAAGGGAAATTGTAGCACTGAAGTACTCAAAACATGTCAAACAACCCTTAAAAAGCGGACACGCGGCGAAGCGCGGAGTTGTCAATGACCTCCGTGTAGAAAGTTGTATGTCTGTTTGTTCCCTGCAAATAAAAAAAGAAGAGTTTTAAGCCTACTGACTTTAATTTTAACAAAATTAAAGAGGAAAGATGTTTCATTGTATTCGTAAGCCTCTCACCTGTGCGCTATCGTCGTTTCGTATCTTGTGCCGAGATCTCCGCTCTAGTTTTCTTATGTATTCACGACTCGGGCTTCCTTTCACTAACAGTGCTGAAAGAGACGGACATCTGAAAGGATTATCTTGGCTTTTTCTCATTTCTTGCAGATATGTTTTGATGATAATACAGCATTCGATGTATTAGGACACCCGACAGCTGCAGTGGTTGTGTTAACGGCGCCTCCCTCACTGCTCGCTACCCCATAGTCATATTCCTGCAAACCAGCGCAGAGGCCGCGATCACTGGAATTTTAAAAAGGAAACTGCATATTAAAGAAACAAAAGGGTAAATTGGGGTGCCATTCATTGCATAAAATGCCAGAAGACCTTTGAATGCAGCAGATGGCTACAGTTTCGTTGCAGTTGTTGTGAAACCCATCAACAACCATCATTAACCATTTCCACTCCGAAATCAACTTCGAAATTACTAATAAAGAGAGCCACTTCCTAAATTGAAACCTTATTCTCCTTCCTACTGTCCTACCTCCTTTTCTCAACGCCTTTTCGGTCGCTCAACCGGTCTGTACAGCGCAAGATGTTGGGAGTGTGTCGCGTGAGGCTATCAGGGGAGGCAGCGAGCAATAAACAGCAGAGCTGGGCTCTTCAAACGAAATATTTCGGGTTGCGTACTTCGTATATCGACGAATTTGATTTGCTTCCGTTGAAATGGGCTGGCGATGGGGCCGAACGCTGGCGCTCGCGTTTCTGCAGATGATGGTTTGTGTCGGCGTGCGAGCACACGTGAAAGGCCCCCAAGAAATTCACTTAGATATTTCTGACAGTTTTCTTCATGTAGGGGTAGGCTGTAAAAACTCTTCGACTCCGTTTTTCACGCTAATGCGGGCGAATGGTTAAGGATTCTCTGCAGGACCAGGCGGCTGTGAAGGAGGAGACTCACGAAGAGTTCGTGGAGAATTGGGTCATAATTGTGTTGTTCATTGTAATAATTGTCTTGTCAATAATATTTGAAACCCTGGTGGGGTTTCTCGAGGAGTATTTACGCCACCGCGGGCTCTACAAGTTGCAGGAGATGCTGAATTGTGCGTTTAAGGAATTGACGATTTTGGGATTCATCAGTTTGTTTTTGTATGCTACGATTCGTCTAGGAGCTGTTCGCAAGGTGAATGACAAGTACTTGGGCGTTTCAAAGACAGAGGAAGCGGCAATAGCAGAGGCAGAAGCCCGAGGCGAGGAGCCGTATCCTCCAACTCACTTAACGGAGACCTTTGAAACCATTCACGTTCTGATTTTTATGATCATGTTGACATTTATTTTGCAAGTTTCGGCCCTCACAGTCGTCGGATACCGCACCATGAGGGACCTTGCGTACCTTGATTCAAAGACAGAGGAGGACTTGAGAAACGAAGTGAAGGCGCAACTTGATCGCCAGCAACCTCACGAGAAAAGACTTCAAAAGGCGCTGCAACACTGGGGCATTCGCCAACGTTTCGTCTTGGCTGCAAATCCCCTCATGCCTAAACCCCGCAAGCCGGAGCCGGGGTCTCCTCACTTTTCTTTTTCCGCTTATTTGATTCATTGCTTCGGAGACAGCCTTGCAACAATGATAGAGCTACCCCCCAGCGTGTTGGTGCTGACACTGCTGATAGTGGTTCTTCTGCGGCCTGCGCTGTCTCTTCCGGGGCGCGAAGTGATTATCTTTATGATTATAGCGGCATTTGGGCTTCTCTTCTCCACCTACCTCGCCTACGCCTTTCTTAAGTACGCCGATGCAAAAATACGCCCCGACGCTGGGGCTCTCATGGCCCTCTTTGGGGACCCCAACGCACCGCTTGAAGAAACCGTTAGCGCCCTCCACTGCCCTATAGATGACCGGTAAGAGGATAAGACTGGCAGCACTTTTATTCAACTCTCTAGCTATATAAAATTCAAACGCCTTGCGATCTAGGCCACTGGCAACGACAAAGCAATGGCCGCGAAGACGCGTAAGAGGATAGAGAGCCCTTTAACCTCTCTTATAAAGTAGTGTTTTATAATGTTATGTTAACTGCATCATAATACGTGAAATCATACTGTAAACTGCATTGTATTGTATTGTATTGCATTGCGTTGTATTGTATTGTACTGCATTGTATTGTATTGTATTGTATTGTATTGTATTGCATTGTATTGTATTGTATTGTATTGTATTGTATTGTATTGTATTTGTATTGCATTGCATTGCATTGCATTGCACTGTATTGTGTTGTGTAGTAACTATTTTACACTATACTCTATAGTATTATGCAAAACTCTATATTACAGTATTGTATTACATTATATATCATATATTATATTAAATATCCCGACACCTAATGGCCTTTGCAGGTGGTTAACAGGGCAGCTGCTCTGTTTCCGTTTGGCAGTAAGTGTTCTTTGATCTTCTTAGCCCTCAGATAGCTATTAATTTAAAGGGCGTATTACTCGCTGCACTCTTCAGATCCACGTTACTACAAGCGTCTGCTGCAGCTGTTGCTGTTCTTCCACGCAGCGTACACCGCAGTGTTACTTATGTGCTTTTTTGCACAAGAGGCCGCCTCAAGATATATCTGGTGGGACAATGGCTATTGGTCTTATCCCCTCACTCTCCTGCCTTTAGGCACTTCTTTCTACCTATGGACCCGGGTGAGACGGCTAATCAATATTGTGGCAATACATTATTAGTGCACCACTGTCGCAATACGCCTAAATCACTATTCCACTACTAAGTCAATACTGTACTGATAAATAAATAATATTGTACCACAATAATATTGTATTACTAATTCTCCTAAATCACTATTACACTATTAATTCACTTTTATACCACTAAATCAGCGATGTACTAATCCTTCAATTTTCTACTACTAAATCAATAATATTGTAACAATATTGAGTCCTCCTGCATCAATACTGTATTAATTGAATATAATGCTTCTGAATCGGTGCTACACTACTAATTTTCCTTTCTATTACTAAGTAGATGATCTACTACTAATTTCAGTTTTCTCCTCATAAGTCAAAGTTGTACTACTAATTCAATTTTCCACTACCATATTGTACTACTAATTCAATTTCCTATTACTAAGCCAAAACTGTGCTAATCAATCCATATTCCGCTACTAACTACTAATTCAGCATCCCACCGCTAAACACATGTTGCACTACTTAGTCAATATTGTGTTACTCAGTACTAAATCAACTTTACAGTACTAAGTCAACTTTATACTATCAAATGCACTACTAACTACTAATTTAAGTCAAGACTACACTAATACATCAACAAACCATACAGCTTCTGCGGACGTTCACTACGGTGTTTCACGTGGACTTCCTGGCGAGCGCAAACACGATAAGAGAAGTGGAAGCAGAACAAGACAAAGTAAGAATATTTAAAAAGCCATTTTTCTATCACTACCGACATGCCTCGGGGGTTCGCAGGCGGTTCTGCAACGGGACGTTCAGTTTCTTGACTATTTAATGCACCAAGTTTGTTGATTCCGTTGTTTATCTACTTTGTAAACAATAAATAAAAGAAATTCAATGGCTTAGGGCGGCAAGATCGAATACTCTGCGGCTGTGCAACTGCAGAGCCTCCTTGCGACGTACAACCGACTTCCTGCTCAGGGGAAGACGTACATCAAAAGCTTATTTGCCTCTCTAGCTGAACACCCAGAACGCTTTCCGCATGCAGGTAGTGCAGTGGCGTTTTGATTTCATGGTTTAAAGCAGCTGAACATCCCTCATTTCCCCTTTAGAGGCGCCAGGCGTGGTGTCGCGGCAGGCCATCGAAGACGTCATTCGATGCACGCGAGCAGAGACTGTAAGCTAAACATGCATACAACCCAGTTGATCATTAATGAGCCTCCTGGCGCTCTTAGACAAGCAAAGAAGATGCAAGAACGTTTGCAGAAGACTGGTTCCGCATCGTGGATGCACGAAGGAGGTCCGCTAGCTTCTACGGGCCGTTAAAAACGATTTTCTCCAACATATTCAACTGCTGCAACCTCTGCACAGTGGCTATTTACAATTCGATGACTTTAAAGCCTTTGTGGTGCTGCTGGGCTCACTAGGTGTCGACCCTAAGGAGTACCTGCAGCACCAGAAGGCGGCCCTCGGCCGGCTATTTCAGTGGCTAGACACTGACGGGGACAGGCAAATCGTGAGGCCTTTAAACAACAGTTGGCTTGCTTCTTTTATTAAGGTTCTTGTGATTTCTGTTGCAGTCTCTGGAGGAGCTGGAGGCAGCCCTTAGCGGGTGGGTGTAAACACTTGCATAATTACTCACTCCCGTGTCAGTTGTCTGATTCTTTTCGTTGTTTTTCGTGCTGCTATGCTGCAGCATGAAACCCCCCATCAGCAGAGAAGAGATTCTGTCGCTCATGCAGCGGATCTCCGTCGATGGAACGAGAATCACAGAACAAAGTCTCTTCGCCTGGGCCAGAAGGACTCGCATGCGTTCGCGTGCTTTGCTAATGCCGGAGTAAAGGCCCTCTGCACCTCTGTTCATCTACAACACCCCCTATGTAAAGAGAATTGGGCATAATCGCTGCAGCAACAGCACAAAGTCCATGTCTTCTATCTTTTCCCACCAATGGATATCAACAGCCAGCAGGGCGTCTGCCTGCCTTCTCATGCCACTGTTCCTTCTTAAGGCACTCACAAACGAGGAGAAATCGCATTCTTTAATACTTGTCTATTATTGTGCCAACAGTAAATGAATTAATGCAGGGAAAAAGCTCCATTGGCTATCTATAATGCTGCTGCCAGAGCAGCTGTGCACGGCCGCCGAGGGCTCGCCGCTGCTGCCCCCAACTGGCCGAGGCCAGTACCCTCTAACACACCTTTTGTCTTACCAAATTACTTCGATTAAAAGACAAACAAATTGCTGAGACTCGCTATTCGGAGATCCCTTCACATAATACACCTCAGGAGCGCCTACGCTATGCACCGTTGAGCCCATTGGTGGGCCCATTGGTGGGCTCATCAACACTATTGCTACAGCCAACAGAAGACAGAACGCTGTCTGATATTTCTGTTGTTTCTATGCCTGCCTCTACTTCGTCTTGCTGGGCGACAAACCAAAGCAAATGAGTCTACTAAACAGCTGCAGTAACGAAACATGGGGGGCCCCATTCTCTGTGTAAACGGCCTCCGCTAAGTGTCTGTAAGCAAGCCACATAGACTACTTGAGTGTTTATTTTGTTCTGTTAGCAGATAATAATCTGTTCTTGGCAACTTATCCCTCCTTCCTACTTCCGAAAATCACACCTCCCAGCCGACAGCCGGAGGCCGCGGTCAGTTAAGAAGCTCGCTTCGAGGGGAGCTGTGTGCAATTGCTGCGAAGTAAGGTGAGTCAAATATACTTTAAAGGAACTATAAATTCAACAAACAAGAAAAGTAAGCAAAATGGTTTTTCGGCACCACCAGCCCCAGCAGCTGACCTCCTCTGCGGCGGCGCTCGCAGGCACGGCGGCAGTCGGCAAGGAGATAAAGTTGCTGTTAAATATTTTCTCTGATAAATTGCATAATATTTACGCGGTAGAGATGAATTAGATCCTTCAGCTCTACGTACATCGCCTCATCACAGCTGTCGCCGGTGCTTGCAGCCCCGTCCGCTCTCCGGCTCAGCCCGGCAAGCCCCCCCGTCTTTGTATGGAGTAGAAATATTGTTTTCAAAGAAGAATTCGCATTTAGCATCATTTTAATCACCTCACCACCAACAGTAAGAGAGGAGGCCCCTCTAGAAGGAGCATGCGGCTTCCCCCCTCCAGCGCGTCTTCATCTCTTGCGCCACACTATCGTCTGGGGCCCCCTGCTGTGCCTGCGGGGGTCTTTGGGGGCCCCTCGGGCCTTTAAGCAGCCGCTTGCCGAGCCTTAAGGGGCCCAACAGCGACAGAAGGGCCCCCCTGTCGCCCCGCCTCCCATTGGAAGCAGGCTCAGCAGCGGTTGAAGGTGTTCGTTCATATATACAGACCAACTGACGCTCTCTCGCAACCTCCAGCTGAGAAGCAGCACAAGCTTGAGAAGGTAAAGGTCGTGGGTTAAGGAGATGACGACGTTCAGAGAGAACTGCAGCAGCAACAGCAGCAGCAGCAGCAGCAGCAGCGCTGTTTCTGCCTCTTCTCGCGCCTCCGATGATGAACAGCAAGCGAGACATGGGGGCTGCGCACAGGAATTCCCCTGGTTGCAGTTGTGGGAGGTGTGGCAGCGAGGAAATATGACGCCTTTAGACCAGGGAGAGACATGGTGAGTCTTTTCACTCCTTTTTATTTTATTTTACCTTTGCCCCTGCTGAAGACAGAGGCCGCAGGTCTCACGCCCCCAAACCTGCTGCTGCTGCTGCTGCATTTGTTGTTGCTGCTGCATTTGCTAATGCTGCTGCATTTGCTAATGCTGCTGCATTTGCTGCTGCCGCTGCATTTGTTGCTGCTGCTTCATTTGCTGCTGCTGCTGCTGCTGCTGCTGCTGTTGCATTGTTTCAGGTACGTAGTTAATGCAGGTTTTCTTAAGGGGCTGCAGCAGGAGGCGACGCGACTGCGCGCTGGGATGTCCTCCGACTCTGTGGCGAAGACTTTGTGCGCATTGGACAAATTCATAGCGCAGTCAAAGCAGAGGGCGCAGCAGCAGCAGCAGCAGCAGCAGCGGGTACAGCAGCAGCAGCTGCGAATTGTTAATGCTCCACTGATGTCTCCTGATGGCTTGAAGAACGGCTTCGCCACCAAACGATCGCGGCTGCTGACGGGCCTAGAAAAGCAAATGGTGCTGTCTGTTCCCTGTTTGGTGTCTGTACACTGCAGCAATCATCTATTTAGATAAGAGTTGCATTAAAACAGTAGCTCAAAGCGCTTAAACTGCTGCTGCTTATCATGTGAAGTCTTTCGACTCTGTGATGCTGCGTCTGTTGTCTCCTCGCTTCCTTCACACGGCATCCCCTCTTTGACTTCATTTGCTTGCCTTCTTGCTTTGCTGCTGCTACTGCTGCTGCTGCAGGGCCTGGCGTTTCAGGTCTGCGACGCAGCGACTTGGGGTGTACTGACAGCGTGGGTGCCGCACGACGTTGAAGTGCCTCGTGGGGTGTATAGACAGGCGGGGCGGCTGCAGGTGGAAGTGCAGCCGCTGCTGCTGCATGCATTTCGTGCTGTTGGCTGCTGCAGCAGCTGCAACGAAGCAGCAACAGAATATGTTGGTGCCTTCGTAGCGATGCGCTCCGACTCTCTGGACGTCCTTATCCACAAGGCAAGACAGCATAAACAACTTTTCTCCCTTTGCATGCGTTCGTTTACTAGTGATTATGTATTATTATTAATTGTTCTACTGCAGTCTATTATTGTTTACTGTTACTGCTGTTGTAGCTTGTTGCTTCGCGTAGCTGTGTTGCTGTCTGTTTGGCTGGGTCTGTTGCTGCCCTTCTTTTTTATCATATGTGTTTTCTTATTCCTATTCGTTTTTGTTTTTGTGCGTTTGACGGTTTGTTTGTTTTGTTTGTTTTTCTGTCTTTGTCTACGCCTTCCTGCCGCTATGTCTTTGTTTTGTTTGTTGCATGTATTTATGTTTCATTATTTGTTTTTTTTTTTGTTTTATTCAGTTTAAAGAGGTGGTGGCAGTGGAGCCATTTGAGGCGGTGCTTCACATATCCTTTCGCTTAGAGGAGGCGGGGGGGGGCCCCCCAGGGGGCCCCCCGGG